AGGTATCGATCGAGCTGCCGATGCAATGCCGTCCCTCGCCGCCCGCCACGCCGCGGGTGCACGTGCGTTGGTCGCCAACACGACCTTTCATTAAACTGTTTGCTGTGGTTGAGGAGACACCAAAGTAGTTTGAATCATCACTAAAGATTTTCCTTATTCAATGTGTTTGTCTGCTTGTTTTTATAAAATCTTGACATATATGAGTAAATCACTAAATCACATGACCATTCAAATAAAAAATACATAAAAATTTAATACCTACCTAAAGCCCTTGTTTTGACTTTGAACTAGCCTGGTTCAAAATTCAGAATATGTACCTATCTTGGATTAATATTTATAAGTAAACCGCTCTTTCTAAACTCTGAAAATCACTTTTATTACTCAAGTTCAAAGTCCCGTTGTGTTTGATATACGAGTAAGTATATAATAATGTAGAGGTATAGATACATATATGTTACGGTTTTTTTTGTGAGGTGAAAATCATCAAATGACTTCTCCCGCCCAGGGCCGGGCCAGAGGGAGTGTCAGACTCTTACTGACTAAAAACCCCCCTATTCCTTCTCCTGCTCTGGGCCGAGGTCGCGGTGCCTCATTGCGCTTACCCCGCAACCCCGGCTTAACATAAGCCCCGCGTGTGGTGATCTATTGGCTCTTTGAGGCGCGCGCGGAACGCTACGCGCCGTACGCTCGGGCCTGGTATTGGTCGGGCGGCGAGCTGCCCTTACTCGCCGACCGCAGACCCGCGCTTACGGTGGTCGGAGATCATCTCTCGATCCCCGACGCCCGGAATGTTGCCTATTGCGGCGGCTGGGGCGTGAGGAGGAGGATCGCTGCCTCACGCGGGCCGCCTCCCTCTTTGCGAGCATAACTGCTTCACAGAAGGAGGAGACGGCGTCCCAGTTCCTCTCACTCCGCACCATGGCCTCGACTAAGGCCGGGTGCGAGAGTTCGCCGCCGCCGATCACTTCCCTGAGGACACGGCGGTTCTCAGCCCAGGCAGGGCATACCGCCACCGTATTCTCCACCATATCCTCTAGCTGGTCCTCACAATGACGACACTCGGGCGTTACCTCCCGCTGGATCCGAAACAGGAACCTACCGAAACTGCCGTGCCCGGTAAGGACCTGCGACAGGCGGAAGGTGAGGACGCCGTGGCGTCTCTCATGCCACTCCTCAAAGAGGGGTCTTACCGCTGCTATAATAGCGTGCCCGGGCCTCGGTTGCGACAGTCGTTGTTTCCACCCCGCCATGAGATCTCGTCGGAGCTCATTCCGCCACGCACTAATTTGTCGCGGCAGAGGATCCTCGCCCCGGCGACGCGCGTCTGCGCGCAAACTGTAGACGCGCGCGAGCGCCTTCGCTTCCAGATCCCATGGCGGTGATCCGGCAAGGAGGTTCGCCGCCTCCCCGGAGATCGTGCGATATCCGCAAATGATTCGGATAGCCATGACCCTCTGGGACGCCACCAGCGTACGAGCCGGCCGCCGCTTCAAGTCCGGCGCCCACACAGGGGCACCGTAGAGGGCCATGGATCGCACAATCCCCATATACAACCTTTGGCAGGAGGCGTTTGGCCCCCCGAATATATGTTACGGTAAGAGTGAATAATATAAAAATAATTATCTATTATTATAAATTATGAATGTAATAAATGGCTAAGGATTGCCATTGATTGGAATGTAATAAATGATTAAGTTTGATGGTAGATTCGATTTTTATAACAATTTTATTAATTGTTTTGTCATAAATGTACACTTTTAGTTTGTTTTATTTAACATTCTAGTTCAGAATATCTGAATTTGTTTTTTTTCTTGTGAGGGGAAAATCATCAAATGACTTCTCCTACCCAGGGTCGGGCAGCAGGGAATGTCAGACTCTTACTGACTAAAACACCCCGTTCCTTCTCCTGCTCTGGGTCGAGGCCGCGGTGCCTCATTGCGCTTGCCCCGCAACCCCGGCTGAACATCAGCCTTATAGGATCCCACCTGTGGTGGACTATTGGCACTTTGAGGCGCGCACGGAACGCTACGCGCCGTCTACTCGGGTCTGGTTCTGATTGGGCGTCGAGCTACCCTTACTTGCCATCCGCAGACCTGTTACGGTGGCCGGAGATCGGGTCTCTTTCTCCGACGCCGGGAGTGTCGCCTACTGCGGCGGCTGGGAATGAAATAGCTTCCTCACACGCTCCGCCTCCTTCTTTGCGAGCTTAAGTACTTCATAGAAAGGGGAAACAGCTTCCCGGTTCCTCTCGCTCTGCACCATGGCCTTAGCTAAGGCCGGACGCCAGAGGTCGTTGCCGCCACTGATTACTTCCCTGAGGACACGGCGGTGCTCAGCCCCAAGCAGCCACCGTATGGTCCACCGTGTCCTCTGGGTGGTCCTCAAAATGAGGACACTCGGGTGTTTCCTCCCGCTGGGAGCGAAACAAGAACCTACCGAAGCCCACCTGTGTCAGGCGGAAGGTGAGGATGCCGTGGCGTCTCTCAAGCCACCTCAAAGAGGAAGAGGAGAATACCGCAGCGAGCCCGAGATTACGTGAATTTGTTGTCCTTTCGTTTTAAAGCAAGTTATCAGTGAAATAATTTTGGTAATCCGACCAGGGGTTTCAAAGATTACCCCCTACAAACAAACTTACAAATAGCTCTTTATAATATAAATAGATTAGTAAATCTGGCGATGATACCGATCCTAAAAATTATAGGCCGGTATCTACTTTACCGGTGCTTAGTAAGGTGTTTGAAAAGCTGATGCTTTCTCAGATGCTTCGTCACTTTAACATGAATTCCATTTTTCGTGACCAACAATATGGGTTCACCAAGGGTCGATGCACAACTGACGCCGGTGTAACTCTAATTAAGCGTGTTTTTGCCTCGTGGGAGGAGTCACACGATGCTATTGGAATTTTATGTGACCTGTCCAAAGCTTTTGATTGCGTCGAACACGAGACACTGTTGCTGAAGTTGGAATACTATGGTATTTGAGGGGTTTAATTTCATTAATCAATTTATTAAAATCATACCTCCAGGGTAGGCAGCTCAAAGTACAGGTAAATAAAGTGAACTCCCAGGGTGCTAGCATATCAATGGGCGTACCACAGGGCTCGATATTAGGTCCTTTCCTGTTTTTGGTCTACATTAATGACTTACCTCATTTATTTCAACGAGAACCGGGAATGGTATTATTTGCTGATGACACATCGTTATTTTTTTTAATAAATAGACGGGCAAATAATTATGACGAAGTAAATAATGCTTCGTAACTGGTTTACAGTTAATAATTTAGTCTTCAACGACAAAAAGGCAAAGTGTATACGATTCAGTTTGCCAAATGTTAAAAGTAACGAATGTGACATTTTTCAAACTACTTTTCTAGGTATATCCATAGATGATAAACTACAATGGGGGCCCCATATCACATCTCTGGCAGGACGGTTGAGCTCTGCAGCATTTGCTGTCTGGAAGATCCGACAGCTAACAGTAGTGGGCACTGCGAGACTGGTGTAATTCAGCTACTTTCATAGCATTATGTCGTATGGCATCTTGTTGTGGGGCGTTACACTGTTCTCACATAATCAAACCAAATAGCTTCACTAAGAGGACTGACCGACAGACTGACAATTTACATCTTTAAAATTTTGTTTGACGTTCAAAGGTGCCTGTATGGGTCTAATTGAAATAAATGATTTTGACTTTGACTTTGAGTATAGATATCTGAAAGAAAATAGTGACGAATGCGCTTAAAAAAATGCAGTCAACTGTTCACTGCAAAGCATTTTTCCGCCAATAAGCTGACATGGACACCAGGAATCCTGGATTTGGATCCATGAACAGAGAAACAGAGACGTTCTGGTCCAGGATGTCTCTGTCGGACACATATATACTTAATATGTAATATCAATGTTTGTCACTCTCACTTGTAGGTATGTATGTTATAAACGAATTAAATAGGTGAACAAAAACGTCCTGTTAATGACGCGTGTTGCGCCACAAGAATACGCTGAAATTATTTATGACAATTTAAAAAGTTGTAAAATATTAATATATCATAAATAGTGATACTTAAAGAATAAAAAATATTTAAAAAGTATGTTGTGCAATAGTGTGTAATGATTACCTACATATCATCAATACATACGTGTATCAGACGACGTTTTTCACTCACTTCTGAATAAATTAATTCTGAATTGAATAAAAAACCATAATACCTACCTTCAAATAAGAAAACGAGACTAGTTGTGAAAAATATTTAGTTATGGCGGGAAAAATTAACCAGTTTTCCTAGAGCGCGCATCGGCCATAGACTAAAAAATAGGTTTCTTTCTTTTTGGGCTTTTCGCGGATAGCATTTTAGCGCAAGTGTTAGCGTAACTCTCCTCCTCCTCACAGCAAAACCGGCGTGAAATAACCAAAGAGTTGTGTTTCGCCGTGTGAGTGAGATTACCGGAGGCCCAATCTTTCCCAAAATCTCCAAATTCCTAATCCCTAAAAGGTGGACAACGCACTCGTAATTGCTCCGTCATTGCGGGTGTCCATGGGCGACGCTGATTGCTTACCATCAGGCAATCCGTTTGCTCGTTTGCCAACCTATCACATAAAAAAAAACTCATCCAATAATAAAAAAACGATTACTCAATTGTGAATAAGTGCTTATCTAAATGCGCCTGAATATCCTGGTTTGTGTAGAGCGCATGTAGCGCGTGTCATGCAGCGACGCCCAATGACACTCGCAATATCAAAGGAGTTACTATAAGTGCGTTGCCGGTCTCTTGTAGGTTATTAGGAATTTAATGTTAGGGGATTTGAGGATTGAGGATGGGGAGAGGAAAGGCTCCACTTCCTATCACCTGCGTTGCAAGCACGTAGCAACACAACTGAAAGTACTATAATATTATGAAGGCTCACTCTCAATATGCGTGTGATGACTGTGATCTATTGTAGTGCCAGTTTGGATTGGCAGCTTCCGGGCGCACTGAGAGCTACATGTCGTCATTAACATTTCAGAACCGCAGCAGTGCGAGCGCGGCGGCTTGCGGCATGGAGTGCGGCGTGGCGGCGGGCGGGTACGCCGCGCCCCCCGCGCACCCCGCGCACCCCGCTCTCTCGCCGACCGAGCGCTCTCCCGCCAAGTCCGGCTTGCACGTCAACTTCAGCGACAAGGGAGAGGTGACTAAATCATACTAATTACACACACACATACATCACTCCAATATAAATATTATATTCCTTATCCTGCCTGGATCAACAGTAATCAACACCTAGTATCCACCTTACCTATCCAAACAACAGCGAGAAGTGCAACAACAACTTTTTAATTTAAAATATTACGGGTGGATGGTGGCCGGGGCCCGGTATATTGGCCTATGAGTCTATGGCCGTAGCAACGGTTGGTGTATCAGGTGATACAGTTATTCTGAAGGTATCAGGTGCACGTGCATACCTATTTGTGATCTTTTGTCTATATCGTTTAAGCTAGAGTCTGTCTGAGCACTTCAATGGCGCCTGATCCCTAAGACAAAGATGTAATATTTTGTAGGTCGCAGTCCCAAGGGACTCCTATTTTTGTTGAACACACTATTTCGTCGTTCGTTTGATTAGTTTACCTCAAATTCTCATTAACTTTATGTTGACAGAGCAACATGTTATATTATTTTTGCTTTACTCTAAAACACGATGTAAATATATTATATCTTATTGTTCGAAGTGACACGTATAACAGCGAGCGATATACATATTATATATATATATATATACCTAGTAAGTAGTACTAGTACCTACTTTAATGATATAATTTCACGTGGCAGATCTAAGCTCCCCGGTACGAAATAAAGGAAAAACCGACGTGAAACCACACGCGTTGGGGTTCGTCGTCTGAAATAACCAAACCATCGAATGTTGTCATTCCCAGGTGAAGGAGCGGCGCGAGAAGTTCCTCACGGCCAAGTATGGCAGCCATCAAATGGCGCTAATCCGCAAAAGGCTTGCCGTCGAGATGTGGCTGTACGACGAGCTGCAGAAGTTATACGAAACGCCGGTGAGTGACGGCGGCAGCCTGCGTTATACTTTACACTAGTTATACACACCGGTTTTTTTTTTGTGAGGGGAAAATCATCAAATGACTTCTCCCGCCCAGGACCGGGCGGGAGGGAGTGTCGGACTCTTACAGACTAAAAACCCCCCTGTTCCTTCTCCTGCTCTGGGCCGAGGTCGCGGTGCCTCATTGCGCTTACCCCGCAACCCCGGCTGACCCGCAACCCCGGCCGTATACACACCGGTGCGTCCCGGATTCGTATACTCACTGTTACCCACGTTCAGAGGCGGACTCAAACCGCGTGGGGCCCGGGGTCGTTACATGACGGCAAATGTCATCATAAAAATCTAGCGTTACCCTTTTTTCTCAAACCTTGTCCGTGGCTCCGAGTTTCTGAGGCGAGGGCTCCGCGCGCGTCTTCAGTTCGCGTGCTGAGGCGCGTCACCGGGGCGTAACGCTGCTCATACTAGTACGTTAACGTTAACCTCCGGCGCGATCTCATGACGAAGTTGAAGCTACAACTGCCCCAACCGAGGGCCGGGCAGTAAGACCACGACATTTTAACTTTCCACCTTATTCAGATGCTTAGTGTACCCCGATGTTTCGGGAAGTCCGTGTGTCGGATCTAGCGGGAGGAAAAGCCCGAACAGAACCGGAACCGAAAGTAGAGCTTCGTGTCCCACTCGCGCCCTACGCCACTAGAGCTGATGTCCAGTACAGTTTCCAGACCGGGGCCGCAGTACCGAGCGGTGAGCTTGCACCAGCAACCCCGGCTGGGCGGTAGATTAGGGTTTTATTTGTTTGCGGAGGAAATCATCAACTTACTTCAACACCTACAACCGGCTGATTATCATCGCTTGCCGGCTTCATCTAGTTTTTTTATATATTATATTGAGGTTTTATGGCCTATTTACAAAAATAATTTGATTGTTTCAGAAGGACAACGCGTCGGGTGCGGCGGGTGCGTGTGCCGCGTCTCAGGAGGTGGAGGTGGACATCGACGAGCTGCTGGACATGGACAGCGACGACCTCCGCCGCCGACACCTCACGGTGAGCGCCCCGCCCCGCCCCGCCCCGCCCCGCGCCACCACTGGCGACACGATACTAACTACCCGTTGTTATTGCTTGTTACAGACCTTACTAGCGGATGCCAAAAAACCTCAAAAAGATGTACATGTAAGTACTCACGCACTTGGAGTAAGTTGAATTATTAACAACGATTTTGATACAGCTTTGGTGTCCTGTTCCTGAATATAAGGATTTTTTTAAATAAACATCGCACCACATTAGGATTTTCTCCTGTGTCGTGGGTGCGGCTACATACAATTTCACATACACATCACACCCAGACCCGAAACAACAACTTGTGGGTCACACAAAGAGTTGTTCCGTGCGGGAATCGAACCCGCGACACGTTGCACGGCCCAACCACCGCACCAACGCATTAGGTTTTTATTAGTAATGGCCTTTTTTTTGAGGGGAAAATCATGAAATGAGTTTTTCGCCCAGGATGAGACGAGACGGAGTGTCAGACTGTTACCGACTTAAAATTCCCCGTTCCTTGTTTTTTATAAGTAATGGGCTCACGTTTACAACGTGAACAACAAACAAACCGGCGTGAAACATCCACAGCGGTGTGTTTCGCTGTGTGAGTAAGGTTCCGGAGGCTCAATCCTTGTTTAGAGCCACTCCAGGTTTCTTTCATCACATCATGCTTAGATATTATAACATATCATTCATAGATATGGCATACATATAACTCAGAAAATATAAAAATCACATTGGTACTTGCCAGGTTTTGAACCCGCTTTGAGTAGCGGGCGCCCCAACCTCCGGTGAACCACGACGTTTTTACCAAGACAAATACTATGAAATTAGCGATGGTAGGCCCAAGTTGCCGAGTAAAATATATTGGTTATTATTATATGTGACTAATTAAAATATTTTTCTTTTCAGAAATTCATAAATGATTTGCTAGAAAGAGCGAAAACACTTTAGATTACGGACCTAAATCTCATGTGGTGGACTGAGCAGCGGAGTCCCGCCGTCGCCAATGCTCGCCAATACTGGCTGGCTGTAGCGGCCGGGGATACTGTCGAGCGTGCAGCACGAGGCTCTCTGTAATCTCTGTTCGCTGAATCTAGGCAGGCCATTGTTTTGCTACAAGACAATTATTGTATACTTAAGGATAGTTATGTTAGGAAGTATTGTAAAGTTAGCCGACTACGATATAAATATAGTTACAGTAACTGTAGGCGTCTAGTGTACGTGGAGTAGCGCCGTCCGGCCGGACGCTACATTCGGAACTTGTTCTAATTTATGTATAAGAGTATTTCGAGTGCAATAAAATAATCTTAATGCTTGTGTGACGTACCTATTTAATGTACTGCGAGATTGCTTTTTGTAATTAAAACTTTCGAGACTGACTAGCAGTGGTCTAGCGCGCAGGTGTTACTCCCAGACAATTTTGCCATTTTCCATGTGGAAGCGCGAACAGGGCTACAGCAGTTGTTACAAATTAAACGCTAGTACATACACACATGCATTCAATATGTTTGTAATTCTATTGAAGATATGTCACAGATTGTCGATGTGTTGGTCTACTAAACCTTTTATCCCTTCAACGCAACATAAACATCTTCACATGAATGTCACGATGAAGTAGCGGGTACCTTTTGTTTCAATGGGTCGATGGAGTAATCTCATTTCAACACACCATTCAAGGTATTCATCAAACCGACACATTGCTTATTTATATTATTTGCGCAGTAGCTGGGCAACGTGTCACAAGTTCCATCCTCGCAAACATATATCGGTGAAAGTGAAGTTATTTTAATAAAAATCTGATATGCAGCTACAAAAACCGACTTCGCTCCAAAGTTTCGGTTTCACCTGAAATAAGACTCTTGCACCTTAGTACTGTATTGAAGATTTATACGTAGACATAGTAAGGCATACGAGACGAGATCTGAGTGTGTGTGTGTGTGTGTCGCTATTTATCTGGTTGTGCTAGCTATCGGTGTTGCCTGACCTTAGATTCCCTCAGTCTTAAGAGCTGAGAGCTCTCGCCCCAGAGAGTATCTAGGCCTCATCACCTGCATACAAGTAGGCATTGTTAAGCAAATCACCACGCTTGATCAAGGCGAGCTGGTGGTTTTGAACTCATTCTAAATCAGAAATTAAAAATTCCAGAATTCCTGGCGATCTTTACCTTCAGTGTATGTCAGTGGAGACTCAACAATTTTAGAAAGTACCTATGTACGAAGTAGGGGCATGTCTCGGAAAAGTAGCATTATTTTTGGCCAGGTCTCGAACCGACCCTCATGCATGCGAAAGTTGGCTATACCTCAGCGCCGTCACGTCCACCGTTGAACAAACCCAGGCCTAGCTAGGCCAACGTACGCCGCTGCCAATTGTTTGTTATCGTCTCGTTGCAATATTTGTAGCGGAGCTAGTCTCGGTCATGTGCAGACTGGTGGTCTCCAATTGTAATTACTTTGTAATAAATAATTTTAATAAAAAATGTTCATTTTAATTAATTATTAATAGGTACTTACGTACTTATTTTCCCACTAAACAACATTAACAGGTAGGTACTTGTAGTTCGTTTACTGCGTTAGCTTTAGTAGTATTCTGGGCGACCCGGACCTCAAGGTGCAAATACAAACTAAATGCGGCTCGCTCTTGTGGTGATGCTCTAGAATGCCAAATGAAGAAATGGAGCTCAATAGCTAAAGATATAGGGCATGCGCTACAACACATTAACGTAAGTAACGGGCTGTTGCGCCAGGTCCCCTGCGCTTTGCGACACTAGCACGCCCCGAGTCCGGCCGATGGAGACGCCGCCGCCCCTTTACAGCGGCGCGGCGGCCGAACAGGAAGAGGTGGAACTAGTATACAACCGCTATAGATAGGCGAAAAGCGCCCTTCAACTTGCCATTGTTCGCGCAAAGGCCCAGGCCAGCATAGAGCTGCCGAAGATTCTTGATCGAGATCCGTGAGGACGCCCCTAGCTCATGGTACAAGGCAAGTTGCGCCAATGGGCCCTCCCATTGTCCCGGAGTCTCCAGCCACAGCTGCTGGAGGAGGTAGAGAGTGCGTTGTTTCCGTCGAGACCGGAGCACACAGCACCGGCTATGGTTCCGCCTCGTGATTCCCCCGACGCGGAATACGAGACTGACGACGACGTGACCGAAGTGACCCGGGTAGAGTTGAGTGGCGGTGGCTCGCATTAAGAACATCGCCCCAGAGCCCGACGGCATTCCAGACCGTGCATGGGTCTTGGCTATGGGAGCTCTCTGTCCCCGACTAGCGGGGCTCTTAAGCGCATGTTTAGCGCGGGGCCAGTTTCGATTTAATAATGTTAACTTTTTTAATTAGGGATGAGTGAGGGTATTATAAACGTAAAAGTAAATATAAGTAACCAGCATGCTTCGTACTCCTAATCTATTAAGAGTTAGGTACGTGTTATTATCACAATATAATATTTTTAATATTATATTGTGGTGTTATTGTTAGTCAACCCCAATGATTTTGACCCGGGATTATGTGTTTTAATTGCTAATTTGCTAGCAAATAGTATTAATTTAGTAATAAGTACCTAGTTTAAGTGACAAATCTATATTGCTTAGACAATCTAACAATATAGAGATTACTTGTACCTACATATAATATAGTACGAAGGAGGCTCCAGAATTATCAACAAATGTGGGTAGTACTTACTCCGGATAGTAATCTTTTCTTTTAAACTGACTTCCATGACAATCAAAAACCACAATCATTGGAAAGGTTTCTTCTGGCAATATTATTATGTTTAAACTGAAACATAAAAATAAATCAGATAGCTTGTTGATAATCAGTCAAAACATTCAGGGCTTATCATCAAAGTTTCTACAAATTGAATTGTTTTTAGAAAAATTCCAATATGTATAACTGAATATTGGTTAATCAAGTAGAATCAATGAACTTTAATAATTATTGTGTTGGCAACTATTATAGCCGCCAAGAAATGAAACATGGTGGTAGGTTAATTTTAGCAGAGAATTCAAATAAAATATACAGAAAGACAAGACATTGCACTGCTATCAATTGAGCACTGAATAGAGTAGGTAGTCCTGTGTTGTAATGGATTGGCATGTTGTAGTATGTGTTTATAGGCCTCATAATATACAGAATTTAAATATTTTTCGCTTACGGTGGCCGGAGATCATCTCTCGATCGCCGCAATAAGCGACATTCCGGGCGTCGGGGATCGAGAGATGATCTCCGGCCACCGTAAGCGCGGGTCTGCGGTCGGCGAGTAAGGGCAGCTCGCCGCCCGACCAGAACGAGGCCCGAGCGTACGGCGCTTAGCGTTCCGCGCGCGCTTCTAAGAGACAATAGACCACCACAAAACCCTATGGGGCTAATGTTCAGCCGAGGTTGCGAGGCAAGCGCAATAAGGCACCGTAGCCTTGGCCCAGAGCAGGAGAAGAAACGGGGGGGGTTCTTAGTCAGTAAGAGCCTGTCCCGCCCGACCCTGGGCGGGAGAAGCCATTTGACGATTTTTCCCCTCACAAAAAACATCATTTGTAGATTTGAGAAAAAAAGACGATGTTGTTTATAACTAACTAACCTAACCATAATTATTATTGTGGATTGAAATATTATAGTTCCCTACTAAAATACAAAAGATAACCTGTCTGTAACATCAAAACCACAGAACGCTGAGAAAGGACAATTGCTATTTTTTTACGAAAAAAATAAAATGCGGACGAAGTCGCGGTCAAAAGCTAGTCCATCATAAAAATACAGTTCCACAAAATGTTCCCTCTAAAACGTAAATAATATCCAGTGTACATTTTTGTTCAGTGACTGGGCTACATCAGGCATTCGTAGGTATAGGAAAGTAGAGAAAAGTTATTTGAGCTATATGACATGAAAGCATATAATATTATGGGACGTAGGCATGTCTTCAAATATTCAAAAATATTTCAATTAGTTTGTAAGCATGCTAAATCGCTTTATATTACCAGTAAAATCACGACCGCGGAAAATAAAATAAAAGCTACCTGGAGTATAATTAATAATGAAACAGGTAGAAACAAATCTAATAACACAGAATTTAATTTAAAAACCGAAAAGGGATTTATAGTACAAATTCGTTAGTTGACCAGTAGCTCAAAAAATTATTTAAAAATATTCCTATTAAAACTACGAAAACGTCGAAATCTTCTCCAGCACCTGCTGTCGAGCTTCTCAGGTGTTCTCAGGAGGAACGTCAAAGTATGTCCTTCTGACCTTAGGTTTAAATATACAAACCAAAGTCATTGTATCAAAGTAAAGTAAAATCCAGTAAAAAAAAGTAAAGTCCAGTGAAGATGTTTGAGGAATGTCTGTTAGAGTGTGCAGGTCCTGTAATAGAGACTGTAGCGCCTTACTTAACTTTCATTTATAATAAAAATGTAGATCAAGGTGTTTTTCCGGATTTTATGAAACGTAGTAAAGTAGTTCCATTACCTACAAATCAGGTGATAGAACAGAACCTCATAACTATAGGCCGGTCTCTTTTAGCCAGTACCTACTCAGTAAAGTGTTCGAAAGGTTGATGCTTACTCAAGTGCTGCGTTATTTTAACATGAATTCTATTTTCCATGACAACAAAACGGGTTCACCAAGGGACGTTGTACCATGTCAATTTATTTATGAAAACACTTCAAATCAAATCAAAATCATCTATAGATGATATAGAATGGAATAGATTCCAACTAAACCATAAATAAGTACTTTTGAAACGTCAAACTAGAATAGTAGTCTGTCAGTCTGTTCGTCAGTGAAGCTGAGTGCTCGTTGCAAATGAGAAAGACATCGTTACTCTTTTAAAAAAAATATTATTTTTTTCACTAATAAAACATTTTTTATACATTACGTGATTACCTACTTATTGTACCTACCCCTATGTGAGAACAATGCAGAGACAAGTTGTTAAAAGAAGGAATCAAGGATGGGATCTATCATTAAATTTTAATACTTTGTCGTCTCGAAGATAGCGCTCACATATGCGTACTCACAGTGTAAAAGAATGCTGCTATATAAACTCTAAATACCTATCTTACTAGACATATAAATAGATTAATGCCCGGTTTTCGAAAGCCCGATCAATGTTAAAGTCAATAAACTAGGTGTCAAATCTCTTGTCAAGTCATCTGATTGGTTGTTGATAATTCAGTCAACCAATCAGATGACTTGACAAGAGGTTGAATTGATTTTAACATTGATCGGCCTTTCGGGAACCGGGTATAATTGATCGATACTGATGCCAAAAATGCAATCAGTAAAATTTTTGTCGTTCTGTATGTTCCATGTAAACCAAAACTACTTGACGGATTTAAACAAAACTTGGTACAATTATTCTTTATATTCCTGGACAGGTTATAGGATACTTTTTATCACGCTACAAATTAAAGGAGCAGAGCAGTGAAGGGAAATGTTGGGGAAACGAGAGAAAATGCTCCCTTTTTAAAGTTTCCGTCGCGTGTGTAGCCTTAATGGTTAAAGTTACATAGAAATTATGTATGACGGAAATATTCTACATAAAATTATCTAAAAAAATTCTATACAACATATGTCTATCTTTTATGGTTAACTCACAATAGCACGTGTAACTCCTGATAGCTTAGCAGTTCGGATAATAAGCCATCGCGCCGTTGCATGTGAATGCTGAATCATGCTATAAGGATTATTTTTGTTTAATGGTTGCCGCACTCGACGCGACGCGGTTTAAAATATAGGTTTTATGAAATATTTGTAATACTTACCTATTAGTTAGATCGCGTGCGTTCGTGCAGCGGAATGTTGTTGAATTTAAAGATTTTAATTATGCAGATATTTTGTGTATGACGTCGTATTAAAAAAAATTTGTGCACTCAACCATTGTGGAGAAATTCACCAAAAACTGATTCCGCTGGGCGAACGTTATACTGGCGGAACTTTTTTTAATCCATATCAAATCAAATCAAATTCTTTATTTCAAATAGACCAAAAAAGGCACTTTTGAACGTCAAGCAAAAAAGATATCATAAGGTTTAACTTTATGTGTCAGTCTGTCCGTCTGTCCTCTAGTGAAGCTATTTGCTCGTTCCAAAGTGTAGATTCCTATGGAGAAGAACGAGCAAGAAACTCCATGGTTACTCTTTTTCAATCACTTTTTACAATGCATTGTTACATAATTTAGATAGTTCCATTATGTGAGAACAGTGTAACACTAGTGTTTAACCAAAGTATCCGAAAAAGAAATAACCCTCAGGGACAGCAACTTTAGACAGTCTCGAGTTGACCAGTCCCAATAGGCGGCGTCCGTTCACGAACATGACACGTACACTCAACCATATTATAGGGAACCGAGCGGTCCAGTGCCCGTGCCACCGCCAATGAGACTCCTGAGTGAGTATGACAACTCCCAACTGACACAAGTACCAATATACTATAAGTCTAACTCAATTGTAATAAGTTACAGGGCTCTCACATTTACAAAAATCCAGTTTATCAACAATTAACAACATGGTGAATAATTTAATAATTGAGATCAAAATTCCTCTTAACAATTTTTATCCTGTGCAGTCAAACCAGCCACCCTCCAAGCATTTTTATCTTCTATATAATCATTTAGTTTGTAGTATGCTTTCCTACATAATACTTTCTTTATACATAATTTAAATTTACTTTCATTAAGATTTTGTATTTCAGTTGGGATTTTATTATAACATTTAACACATAATCCCATGAACGACTTATGCACTTTTGCTAATCTAAATAAAGGCTGACTTAATCTATTTCTATGTCTAGAAAGATAGTCATGCTTGTCAGATACTTTTACAAATAGCTGTAGGTTTTTCCTAACATACATAATGTTTTCATAAATATATTGACATGGTACGGTCATAATGTTGATCTCCTTAAACTTTTCTCTGAGAGATTCGCGACGACCTAAGTTATAGATAGCTCTGACTGCACGCTTTTGTAAGATAAAGATAGACTCAACGTCGGATGCCTGTCCCCACAACAGAATTCCATAGGACATGATGCTGTGAAAGTAGCTAAAGTACACTAGTCGTGCCGTGCCTACGTCGGTTAGCTGACGGATCTTCTAGACAGCATAAGCTGCCGAGCTCAACCGCCCTGCTAGAGATCTAATGTGGGGCCTCCATTGCAGCTTGTCGTCTACAGTAATCCCCAAGAATGTGGTCTCCTTTACAAATTCCAGTTTCTGACCATTTAAAATATATCATCGCATACGTTACTTTTAACATTTGGCAAAATAAATCTAATGCATTTCGTCTTTTTATCATTAAATACTAAGTTGTTTTTTGTGAACCAATTATGAACTTTCATTAAGGCATTATTCACTTCGTCATAGTTATTTGATCGTCTATTTAATTTAAAAATCAAGGATGTGTCATCAGCGAATAATACCATATGCGGTTCACTTTGTAATAAATGGGGCAGGTCATTGACATAAACCAAAAATAGGAATGGACCCAATATTAAGCCCTGCGGTACGCCGTAGCGTATCTATACGCTAGCACCCTGGGAGTTTACTCTGTTTACTTGTACTGTAAGTAGTCTTTCTAGAAGGTATGACTTTAATAAATTTAGGGATACCCCCCGAATGCCGTAGTGTTGCAGCTTCAGTAATAGTGTTTCGTGCTCAACACAGTCAAAAGCCTTCGAAAGATCGCAAAATATTCCGATGGCATCCTGTGCTTTTTCCCACGATTTGAAAACTTGTTTTATAAGCGATACTCCTGCGTCCGTAGTGCAACGTCTCTAAGTGAACCCGTATTGTTGGTCAACACAACGTATTGTTATCAACTTTTCAAACACTTTACTACGTACGTAATGGAACTACTTTACTATGTTTCATTAAATCCGGGAAAACCCCTTGATCTACACTTTTATTAAAAATTAAAGTTAAGTAAGGCGCTATAGTCTCTATAAAAGACCTGCACACTCTAACAGACATTCCCCAGAGATCTTCACTGGACTTTACTTTGATATCTTTAAACGCCTTTATTACTGCCTGGGGGTTTGTATGTTTAAACCTAAAGTCCGCAGGACATTCTTTGACGTTACTTCTGAGAAGCTCGACCGCAAGTGCTGGAGATGATTGCAACGTTTCCGTAGTTTTGAGAGGAATATTTTTAAAGAAAATTGTAAAGTAGGTGTCCAAAAATAAATGACCTATAAATTATTTCGAAACAACAAGTGTGTTATCACCGGTACCAATTCAATACCGGTATTATACTGTACATTTTGGGATGTTACCTAAATATATTGCACAGCCGCTTTTTTGTAGCCATCCGAACTTGGTCGGGTTATGTAGGTTTTCGATGCTTCGTCAGTATTATAATTATTTTTCTTTAATTACTGAATTTAATGACATGAAATTTTGCATGTGAATAGTTGTATGAATACACTAATTATTGGCATACGTTTTACCATGCAATTCATTTAGAACGTCGTGATATTTGACTGCTTTGTAAACAGTGATCTATTCATGGTAAATTTGTCCTATAACTATTTTTTTACTAACGGAACATCATTAATACTTGGCAACATGTTGCAGACACTTACAAGGTTTGTATAAACGTGAAAATCTAGACCCCAAAGTGCATACTTTAAGAACTAAGACCTAATAAGCGTATTTTACGTTTATATTTTTAACTTTTAAATCCTGCGATTTTTTCTAAATCTGTTTTTAAACAAATATAAACAAATTCAAAACAACGTATGTAAAAATCTACAGCTCTCTATGTAAGCGCTTTATATGAAAACTAGCTAATGGCCAAACGTTCGCGTAGCGGAAACTTGAATTTCTCCGAAGTTTATGCATGCACTAGTTTTATTCATACATACACAATTACACACAAATTTTTGGATACATCTCTTTTCTTCTAAAGTCTATGGATTAAAAAAGTTCCGCCAGGACAACGTTCGCCCAGCGGAATCAGTTTTTGGTGAATTTCTCCACAATGGTTGCGTGCACAATTTTTGTTTACCATACACAATTATACGACGTCATACACAAAATATCTGCATAATTAAAATATTTAAATTCAACAACATTCCGCTGCACGAACGCACGCGTTAGATCCGTACCACAGTATAAATATCATACAGTATTGTAACTCGGCCGCTTGAAAGAAATAAATACCTACAGCCGCGCGGTACGTAAACATGCGTTAGGGCTGCTCGTCTCCAGTATTTTAATTACCTTTGTCTACTTTCTGTTTCCATTTAGTTTTGTGATTGTAAATATCCATTTTTATATAAACAAATAAATTGCTTTGGCCACTAATGCCGAACTGAACAGCTGACTACGAATATTCTAAAATCACAACCCTCAAACATCAAAATATTACATGAGTCTAGCTGTTTTATTGTTGTTATTAAATATTTTCTAGTATTATTCATAAACGCAGATAATAAACAAATATTATTAATAATAAAATACCACACTCTCTACTTTGAATTATACAAACTAACAAAACACATGAACCGTTTTAACACAAGCGTAAGTAGGTAGGTACCTAACGTATCATGATTCATTCAGAACCAGAACCGCCTATAACTACCTATTTCACTCGTCTCAATAACTATATTCATATTATTTATAAATTCAAACATCTGTTTTCGTGAGATAACTGGAAATAATGATCCATAAAGACACACATTATGTACCTACCTAGGCTACTAGTAAGTAAAATTATTTTATAGTCTTACCTTTCAGAGTTTCCAGGTAATTTAAAAAAAACTTATGTCTGGATGCGTTATTGACGAATTCATGCAACCAAACATAATAACAGCACAATATTTCCTATTCGTCATATTAAATAATGTACTCGAGCTGATTTCTAAATAAAAGACAACACACCGTCCGTTCGTCACTGCGGTACAGCCGCGTCTGTCTGCGTCCCGACATCGGGCGCGTAGGTATAGTTCGCGTTTCGGCCGTTTCTATGAAGTTGAAATACTTGTAGATATTATTACCTTGTCCGTACCATTCTATCTATGGACGGACGGATAGCGGAGACTTAGTATTTACCCATTGGAGTTGTACCCATGAAAATGAGACGATTAATAACAGATTATATGCATACTTCGATTTTGATCTATTGCTAAAGGCTTCTTTTTATCAACACGGCACGCGGGGGAAGCCGCTGGCAGAAGCTAGTGTTAAATCCTAGGTGAAGTACAAATTTTTAATGAAATTGTTTAAGGAAGCATAGGTACTACCAACTAAATGAATAAAATTATAGAAAATAAAAATGCTTAAAGGGTTGGTTCTACTGCACAGGATGAAAATTGTTAATAAGGAATTTATTAAATTATGTATCATGTTAATTGTTGATGATTTGTAAATGTGAGAGCCCTGTAACTTATTATAATTGAGTTAGACTTATAGTATATTGGTAGGTACTTGTGTCAGTAAGGAGTTGTCATGCTCACTCTGAGGACTCATTGGCGGTGGCACGGGCACTGGATCGCTCGATTCCCTATAATGTTGTTGAGTTGGGCGGTGCTAGTGTACGTTTCATGTTCGTGAACGGACGCCGCCTATTGGGACTGCTAAACTCGAGACTGTCTAAAGTTGCTATCCTTGAGGTTCATTTCTTTTTAGGATCCTTTGGCTAATCATTAGTGTTACACTGTTTTTACGTAATCAGAACTATCTAAATCGATCTAAATGATGTAACTGAAATGAAAAAGAGTACCTAACCATGGACTTTTTCGCTCGTTTTTCTCCATAGGAATCTACACTTTGGAATGAGCAAATAGCTTCAATAAGACTGGCATGCTTAAGTTAAAGCTCTTGAAATGCTTTTTTCCTTTTTTTAGGTTAATCAAATTATGTAGAAGCAACCAAACGACCAAAATATCGGTATAACGAAGCCAGTAGCTAGGTTATAGGTAGATGTAGGTTAGGTCGATATAGGTTTCCAACCTAACTTTCATTAGAATTAAAACCCTTCGATCCCACTGAGAGTAAATAAAAGCAAGATTAAAAAAATAAATTGTATAATAGTTTACAATATTCTGAGTCATTTATGTTTTCTTAACTATTGATTGAGCTCGATGATTTCTTTTACTAAAACTAAATATGTTGTGACTCTAGCTTATTCAGTCTATTACATCAAGGCCACTTATTTAATGATTACATTCTAATGAGAGACGCGTACAAAATGATCGGCGACGGGAGCGGCCTAGTGAGGGTCGGGGGGCGGCGCGTGCAGATGGGCGAGCGCGTCGCGCAGCTCGAGGAAGCGGCGCTTGAACTGCAGGCCGCAGCCGCGCGTGCGCCGCAGCTCCAGCAGCGTGCAGGCGCCGCAGCGCAGCGCCGCCGCCCGCAGGCGCACGCCCGCGCCCGCGCCGCCGCCCGCGCCCAGCTCCGCCACCAGCCCGCGCGCGCCCGCCCGCCGCCACGCGTGCCCGCGCGCCTCCAGCGCCGCGCCCAGCGCGCCCAGCGCGCCCGCCTCGTCGCCGCGCAGCCAGACGCGCGTCATGCGGCGCCCGGGCCCGAGCGGCGCGCCCAGCGCGGCGTCGGCGCCCAGCAACAGGTCGTCGGCGTGCGCGGGCTGCGAGTAGCTGATGAGCGCGTCCATGTCGGCGGCCGAGAGGTCGTCGGGCGCGTCCGTCGCCTCGCCGCCCGTAGGCTGGGAACGCCACGTGCGCTCCTCGTTCTCTGTCGATAGGAACGGTCGGGAAATCGTCTCGGCCTCGGTTCCCAAGTACGAAATTCAAAGTCAAAACGATTCAGTACAATATAAAACGTCGAACTACATCGCCGTGATCTAACGTCGCCGACGGGACGAATAGCGTTACCAGTCGATGGATCGAAGACGAAGACGGAGACTCGAGCGGACGGCAGGTTTGCAGATAGTGCGACGGCACGGTGCTTTGGTAATCTAGCTTTATGAGCATTTGTCACGTCACGGAGCTAAATCGCCAAAGAGCCGAACCGCGCGTCAGTAGATTTCGTAACGTGGTCCTTCCAGAGGCTGCGAGAGCGGCGCGCGCCGTGCTGAGGCACGAGGCGGCTCCGAGAGCGGCCACTCAGAGTCACCTAGTACCTGACACGGGCACACTCACTCAGAGTCACCTGGTACCTGACCCGGGCGGGCACTCACTCAGAGTCACCTGGTATCCGACCCGGACACTCACTCCGAGTCACCTATTTATGACCCGAGCATACTGACTCACCCGGCCACTGGCGCGCGCGCGCCCATGGTGCAGCGCGCAGCGCGGCTAGCGCGGCGCGGCGGCTGGGGTCGGGCGCCAAGGCCCGCCGCAGTAGCGCCAACGCTCCTCCGCTCAGCTTGCGCCACGGGCCGGACGGGGGGGCCGCGGCCCCGCAGGCTGGCTGCGCCCCCGCGTCCCCGTAGTTTGCCTCCCACCACGTACTCCAGGCCGCGAATCGCGCGTCGGACGGGCAAGCGCGCTCCCACGGCAATTCTTCAAACATACAAATGATGAGTCACGATATAGCTCGTAGCTTAAAGGAATAGAATTGATTACAAATAACATCGTTACCGGAAGTGGCTCACCGGACGACGACGAAGAGCCCGCTGCGTGTGCCAGGACTCGTAACTTCGGTACCATAACTTTAGGGTTTAGCGTAACACGCCTACAGCTAGGATACCAAAGAGACGAGCCGCGGCGATGTGAAGACGACGCATTAGAAGAAGTGGCTGCAGGGGCGCGGAATACTCACCGCCGGCCAGCATGGCGAGCAAGACGAGCGCGGCGGCCCACAGGTCGGCGGGCGGCGCGCGGTAGGGCCGCGCGGCCGCGCGCAGCACCTCGGGCGCGGCGTACGGCACGGTGCCGCACACTCGCGTCAGTAGGCGCTCGCGCGTGCCGTGCCTGCCATACATTACTACATTGTACCGTCCCACTGGTACACACAGTTTCGAAACAGGATTGCGAGCTTAATAAAACTTCGAAAATTGTTGTCCGCTTTGAAAGTGGACTTTCCAAACACAATAAACTAACTTGGTCTTGTGTCTACCCGCGTGCGCCACAACTGGTACTGATTGGGGTGTACTTGTTGTGGCGCACGCTGTTCTTATAAAGAAAAAACATTTCGAAACGACATGGCACCATATCCAAAAAATAGCGTTTGAAAAAAAAAACAACTTATTATCTGAATTCAGAAAAAAAATTATTAATTTTGAAAGGTATAACTTGGGCACAAAAAAAAAACCGGCGTGAAACAACCACAATGTTGTGTTTCATCGTGTGAGTTAGGTTACTTGAGGTCCAATACGGGAAGTATCTGATCTCCAAATACCTAATCCCAACGGTCGGCAGCGCACTCGTAATTCCTCTGTTCTTCAGGGTGTCCATGGGCGGCCCTGATTGCTTACCATCAAATGCCCGTTTGCCATCCGTTTACATACAAAAAAGTAGTGGTTGTCACATCAATATACAAAGCAGTAAGCATTTTGAAGATTGGCAAGTTTATTCTTCCTTATCTTTCCTATTTGGCATGTAAAAAAGATATTGCAACTTGAATGGAGTTAGTCTCATAGTTAGTTTCATTTTCACTAGGTCAACCTATTTTTTGTTATACCCTAAATAGTAACAAGTAAAATATTTTGTTATGTTTCAATTAGACTAGTATGAGGCACTGTTGAATGCCAAACTAAGATTTTGAAGATAAAGTGTCAGTGCGTCATTACTCTTATTCGATCAGGTTCACAGACAGATCCTTTTTTTATGACAGAATGATGTAAAAGTAATATATGTATAGCCAAAGAAACGGAAGAGGAAAATAATCTCAAAGGCAATTAATGAGACAGTTTGGGTTGGGTTGGCACAAATCAAACATACCGCAGTGTAGTGAGCTATCTAATTTTTTACTTTGACTGCACGTTAGGTGCTGTGGCCGGGCAAGTGGCTGCCATGCAACGTGTCGGGGGTTCGATTCCCGCACAAAACAACTCTTTGTGTGATCCACAAATTGTTGTTCCGGGTCTGGGTGTCATGTGTATGTTACATTGTATGTTTGTAACCGCACACCCACGACACAGGAGAAAATCCTAGTGTGGGGCAACGTTTCTAAAAAACACGAAATAAGTAGAAATACAATCTAATGCCCGTGTCACCGCCATGTTACCTTCGAGTGAGCATGCTAACTCCAGACTGGGAAACATTTTACCTGGTCACTCATATTTGCAATTATTTTCAAATTGTACAATATATTGAATTTGTCCGTTTTCGACAGAAACTTCAATCACATGACGAAACAAAAATTGGGTATTCCCAAGGCCGTGTCAGTATACTAGTGACGTGCGCCGTAGTCGAATGGACCGGCCCATTCATGTTTCCCATTACTATTCTATATCCTCGCATACTTTATTTTTCTTTTTCTTCGTACATATCAGGAAATGATATGTCGTAGGATAGGACAAAGACAGCGTAGATTTCGATACTTTTCCGGAGGCAACATTAAAATTTTAACGTTTCTAATTTTTGTATAATGGAGCAAATTAAGAACTTTTCGTCAATTCTTGTAATGTAATAACTACATAATGCACTTGTGCCACGAAAATGAAATACAAATTTACCCTATTTTGTTAGCTAAGTTTGAAGTGTAAATGTAGTAATTCGACTGGTTTCAAGCCCTCTGCTCATAGAATGGCTTGATGCTAGTCGAGTTCATTTTAGGTGTAGTCGATCAATATTCGAGTGTTACTCACCTGAACAGTGTCGCCATGCCGAAATCAGAGATCTTTAGTTGGTCCCGGGCGTCGAGTAGCAAGTTCTCGGGTTTGATGTCGCGATGCGCCACCCCGCGGCCGTGCAGGTAGTCCAGGCCGGCCAGCAACTGCAGCCAGTAGCGGCGCGCCGCCGCCTCGCTCATGCCCACGTCCGGCTCTAAGGACACACCAGTCAGAGCGCGCCGCGGCCGCGCGCCCGAGTCCGTCGGCAAACGCGCGCCTCACCGATCCGGTCGAACAGCTCCCCGCCCGGCGCGTACTCCAGGAACAGGTAGTGCAGGCCCTGGTGCGTGCGCTCGCCCAGGCAGCGCAGCACGTGCGGGTGGCGCAGGGCGCGGTGCAGGGCCGCCTCGCGCGCCGGCGGGGCCTGCCCGGCCTCGGCCTGGCCGGCCCCGGCCTGGCCGGCGTTGGGATCGGCCGCGGGCCCGCGCGCCACCTTCAACGCGACGGCGGCGCCGCTGCGCGCGTGCACCAGTAGTCGCACTCTGCGCGCCCAAAATACAAGCTCGTCATAGACCTGCGGCCGGCGGAGGCGGCGCGCAAAGGCACTGACCGCGCGAGGTGGATAAACTTTCAAGGATGCGTCGAGCCGCCATGACTCGCTTGTCGTGTTTTTTTATATCCAAATTGCAGTGTCGATCTAGTTCCGTGTTCGCGCAAAGAACCAACTTCAATTCAAGTCAAATAATAATATTTATTATAAATACTAATACCATTTTAAACTTTATACCAACTACTCCCTGGCTACAAAATGTAGCTTAGTAGTCAATTTATTTATATTTATGTACCTATTTTTTAAGTATCCTAACTAACAACTACAAATACTTCATAGCTGAACCTCTAAACATAGACATCTAACATGGATGACAAGAAACGGTCAGTGGGTAGCCTTAAGGGCGGATTCATCTCAAATATTTAGGCAATGGTGTACACAATATAGGTATTTAGAATTACATTTTAAATGTTTAAACATGAAATGAGATGTGTATTTGTATCATGTGTTTCAATGTCAATCAGGGGCAGAGAAAAAACCAGTGTAACTGTGTGATTGTTCTAATGAGAAGTAGTCAAGTTCAAGTAGAAATCTCAACTTGTACGACTGAGTGCTGGTATTCTAGTTGTTGGTTCTGTGTACCCAACAGATTTAGTTCAACACAACTACTCAGAAACACTCAAGTCCAACTGAATTGAGTGTTTGATATTATACTATGAAGTCACTTTCATTATGCAGGGTGTTTAAATATCACAGCTATACTACATGCTGTCACTGTCACTGTCTGTCACACTGTCTTTAGCAGTAAACCACTAGACATAAAGCCCACATTCTGACCTCTATTTGTTTAGTATGTAAACTATTATAAAGATAATCAAATAGTAACAATCGAGGGTGGATTCAATAATCACTGCATAGCATCTCATTGTTGCTGTTAGAAAAATTGTAGGAAATTAATTGCTTGCTATCTCTTAGAAATATTGGTCAGCTTAGTCTATACAGACACAGATATTTTTGAAAGAAAACTGATTGTTTTTCTTATATGAAAATATGAAACTCTTACCATGCAATGGTAATTTAAAAAAATGCAAATTGTTGTGGATGTGTATCAGATCAAGCAAGATAATATTGCAAGACCGCTGCTTCAATAAATATGTGATGGCACCACTTAAAGCAAAGTAGGTATACTTATATTGTTTTTGTTAATAAGTTATCATTACATATTAAATTATTATACTACTTAGGTACTGATTTAGGCAGCCACTTGATATATAAAATTATTCAATTGAGATCGCTATATTAACCCTATTCGACGTGCAATTTACCACCACTGCACATTGAGGTATGGAAAAATAGTTAGGGAATACTTACTCGCCATATGCTCCTTCGCCTAACACCTGGGCGACAAGCCAGCCCTCAACAAATTCAGAGCCGGCAGCCATCGCCCCGCCTCTTGCTGTCACCTGCAACATCAACCCACTGTTAGCACTTCTCAGAGTCCTGCCTCCGTAATTTTCATAACCCTTAACACTATACATAACTTATTAAAAGCTGTGAAACTTACTCTTCGCCCGTCGACACACTACTCAACAATGTTCCCTCCGAACACGACCACGCCGCCGGGTTGCGGCTTTATTTAATTCGTCAGCAATTTATTTAAATTCTTGAAAATACGTCGTTTTGCTTTAGTATTCTGTAGTATTATTCTATTTGATGATAAAAATACACAATACATGCATCAATCTGGCGATTAGAAAGAACTAAATGGCGGAAGGCACGTGGAGATGAGTGAACAAAGCGAGAGCCGAACGGCGCCGTCGCCTCGCTTGTCTGTCGAACTCGAAAATTTGCCACACAATGCGATAACGGTAATGGTACCTGAGAAATCGCAAATATTGCACTTCTCTAAATAATTTGCAAAATACCATCACGATAATAGAAAAAATATATAAAATTTGAGAAATCAATATATGCTCTACTGTAAACACTAACCTTCCAGAAACGATCAATGGATCACACCATTTTGCCATTTTCTTTTCTTCAACGCCCGTCGCTCGACTCGACTCGCTAGCCTTCCATTCAACCAATCGCCATTCGCTCTGTGATTGTCGCTGATTCGCTGAATGATAACCGACAACGGAACGGTGCCGGGTGCCGACTGCCGATGTCGAGTCGAGTCGAGTGATTGAAATTGTATTATTACAAACATAAATAATTGGTTCAGTTTTTAGAAATATTCATAAATCCGGATTAAAACTTTCGTATAACATGATTCAACGATAATATATATATTTATTATATTTGTAATAATAGTAATATTAGATAGCTATTTTAAGTGTAAATGTTTATCTTTTTCAGGTTTGTGAAAATAATTCATGTTTCATGTGTACCATCTTTTATACCCCCGTATTTCTGACATACCTTTAAATAATTTATCTATATAATACCTATTAAATAGTTATTTTTATTTTAAGTGTGCATTTATTTTGAAAACAAATACTCAAATGTCATATGAATCATGTGCATAAGTCATATTTTTTTGCCAACACTCGAAATTCATAACCGATCCCAATCAATATAGAATTATAGATCTACCAATAACATCGTATTACTAATGGTTTCGTTAAATTTTGAGTTTAACTTTAAAATAGAAGAAAAATGTCTTAGCGCAACAGCAACACAGCTGTCTCTATCATTTTTTAGCTTTGTTCTCTTTGGCTGCTGGTCCGTGCGATGTTATTTACTACCTACCTAAAGTTTAGTTGTAGTTACCTAGTGATTATTTGTTCTGTGCTACTGCTACTGGTGGTTTTTTTTTTATTTTATTTTTTATTGGAGTTTATGGCCTCGATACCTACAAGTGCTACCTACTAGTGGTTGACGTTTTAACAGTGTTGTCATATCAAACGTTTTTTAGTTCTAAATGTCGCCGCGTCAGACATTTTCTTGCCAAACTGTCATTGACATAGAAAATATAAGGACTTGAAATAAATTAGGTATTTCAAAGTAGGTTTCGTAGGTATGACCTACAATCCAAAATTTCGCATAAGATGGCTGCCGTTGCTAGGGTTGTGGCGACTAAGTATTTAACGAGTATCGATACAATTTGAGTATAAGTTCTACGTAGGTATAGATTTAGGGATTAGCCAGCTGATTAACGGTATTTTTTTATGGGAAATCATCTAATGTCATTTCCGGCCCTTTTCGTGACAGACCATTACTGCCTAAAATCAACTGCTGTTCCTACTTTGCCGTCGGCCTAGCTAGAGCCCGGAACCCGGGGTTACCTAGGTCTCTTGATTGGCTAATGATTTTCTCAAGTCGAATTTGTAATTATATAATTCTACGGAAAGCGTCTTTAAAAAAAAATAGGACTGTGTTTATGAACAGCGTTTAATGGAATGGTGAAATAGAAAAAGATAGTTTTTGTTAAATGTTTATCCGCCGAAATATGGGGCCCCTTAATTGCGTATGTGCAACACCTGTCGGAATTTGTGATGTGCTCGCGCACAATTTCGGCTCGTCTGATTAAGCCATTATATCTTCGAAACTGCACCACACTGCACAATACAACACACAGGCATATTGTATTTTTGTTTCACTTATATATTTGAAGTTAAAAAAATGGTTCTTGGTAATTTACTGGGAAACCGCTATAAAACATAAACAACCGTTTGACAGCACAACTACCATGAAACTCAGGTACTCTGAGCGCTTAAGATGGCGGACATGGCACTTGCACTTACCTACAACTTTGCTAATGTCAAAATGATTTGTTGCCATAATAAGCAACAACTTAAATATTGTTATCCCTTTTGTCTAATACAATTGTTGCCTAAGAAAGAGTGAGAAAAAACGATATTTCATAGTTTGTTTCATATTTCACTCATATTTGTATAAGCATGTATACTTCTAAAATAACACGGCGCCTCTAAATATTTTCTATCTCAATGCAAACTGTACAATCAAAAAATGCCTAGTGTTGCCAACCAGCCTGAACCTTGTATGTAGGTGCTTGTGACTTGGTTAACATAAAAAAGTCATATGTTCTTAAGTATTCTCAACGTATGAATTCGTTGTAGGTAATTCCTTTTTTGGAGCTAGGATTTAGAATTACCTAATAATTTATAAACTTATACAGGTACACTCATAGCGAATTTTATTTCATTATTTTAATGATCACAACAATCGTATAATTATACGGTCAGTCAATGTCATCATTAATTGACTATTGTAAAGCATTGTATGATAGATACCTAATATTTTGCTCTAATATTCGCAACAATATTCTTGTTTGAATGACAACGAGTGTCATTGTCTGTTGTCATTGAGTCACAATTTCCTATTGCTAAAATGTACTCTGTGGTCACAAGTCACATCAACTCATTGTCATTCGCTGCTTTATTCTAATTCCAAGTTTAATTTATGTTGTTCCAATTATGTTGATAGCTGTCGGTTGATAGTACCTTATAAGACTTGAGACTTCGTTGACTAGTTGTCTACTTGCGTGAGTCATAGCGAATCTTGCAGTCATTTTAATAACATTAAAATTTGAGTGTATTCTTTGTGAAAATCGTCGGTAAACATGGTATGGAGACGCAATTACTTACACATTAATATATTATTGTTGACGTTATAAAGTAGCGTCGTCATGAAATTCTTATCTTCTCAATGATGTAAACGTTTTCCCAATTTGTTACAGGCTGGTTATTCTGAGGACCAACTTGCAGGTGAGTAATTATTTATTTAAATGAGATTTTCAAAATTGCTCGAGTGTTGTAATGCACAGTGGGTCGAGAACAAGATAGTAAATGAAAACTGTGATGCAGTTTTGTGGCGTTCGCGAGTCGAGCGTTGACTGTGACTCATGTCACGTCAATCAACGTCTGTGCCGAAAGCGGTGGCTGTTACAAGCGCCCTAGTTTCCTTATATGGTTTGTATTTTAAAGCGATCCAGGTGTGTCGCCTGGGCCGTCGGCCTCGCTTGCGTGCGCACTAGGTCGCGGTTAGTACGTTGTCATACTCCCTTGCAACATGTTCATGTACGAGCCTCCTACTAAACTGAAGCTCACGTCTGTCGAAGGTATGCTCTGTGGGCGAGTACATCTCCCGCCGTGTGTGCCACGCCCTCAGTTTATATAAAACTGCCATACTATATAATAAGAACCACTTGCGTAATTGGTACCTAAACAATTTTATTAATTTTCAGAATTTCAGGAAGCATTCCAGCTATTTGATTCTCGTGGTGATGGCAAGATCCATGTAGCACAGATTGGAGATGCCCTACGAGCTCTTGGCCAGAACCCCACCGAGTCTGATGTCAAGAAGTGCACCCTGCATTTGAAGCCAGATGAGAGAATATCTTTTGAAGTGTTTCTTCCTATCTATCAGGTAAAACATTGAGTGTACTAATTTATCAAACTATGTTTGTTGTGGTCCGTGATATATAGCAAGTCATGTGTGCAGCTTGCGTCATACATTTGGCATTTGTGTAGTCAACATATTATGTAATGTCATTACTAGCAAGCCCCTATAAAAAGGACCCTTCCAACTGTCCTATGCTGCTAATAGGTTGGTACTTTGTCCAATAAAACTCGCATACATGTTGCATTAGTTATTTATTATGAATTTAGTAAAGTATTTTGTATTTAACCGTTGTCTGTGCCTGGTTCAATTTTGAAATGCATAATTATTTTATTTTTTTAATTAACTTTATTCATGACCATAGATACAAGTCTTTCAGTCGAAAACATAGATAATTTTGTAATAATACATACAGTTGACATGCATACATTAGTAAATGATACCAGCTCTTAAATTGCCATAATGTTTTAAAATTAACATATAACATCACTTAACCTTCATGGACGAAATTGACTAGTTCTGAAGAAAATTCTGCATGATGTGTAATGTATTAATAGTTAAGATTAATAAGGTTCATTGCACGAAGGTGAAATGATATTCGTAAAGTATATGTGTGTGCATTGGACCTGCGCAGGCTATCTCAAAGGCCCGCAGTGGCGACACCGCAAACGACTTCATCGAAGGACTGCGTCATTTCGACAAAGACGGCAACGGCTTCATTTCCTCGGCTGAGCTCCGGCACTTGCTCTCCACACTCGGCGAGAAACTTAGCGACGACGAGGTAAGGCTTGAAGTACCATGCATCTTTAAGTTTCTATTGTTCATTTATGTTCAGGGCGTACCCATGTGAAGTCATCTAACCCTATCATTGCGACACTTTATATTGAGGAGAATTGATGAGAACCACGGCTGAAAAGTTGGGAAATCCCTACTTTGTGAATCACTGTGAATGTGATCATCCTTACCTTAGGATTTGTACTTGCGTTAGGATACAGTAAGTCTGTATGTGGTGACTGACGGGTTGCAGGTGGAGCAGCTGCTGCAGGGCCAGGAGGACTCGCAGGGCAACATCAACTACGAGAACTTCGTGCATCTCATCATGCAGGGCTAAGGCCGGCCATACCGTTAGTAAGTTGTGGCCTCGCCAGGTCTAGGAGGTCAAAGCGACGCATTTACAGTGGTTGAAAGCACCACTCATATAAACTAACGATTCCGTATAATGATGTATTCCCAATCGATTATATTCCAAAACTTATTCTTAATTATAATAATTCTTGTATAAATAAATAATAATAATAAAAAAATTTTGTAATCATTACTTTTATTTATTTTTGATATTAAAGCCTGGAACTGGATTAACACAACTAATGGTAAATGTTTAATTGAATCCTCATGCGACTGCTGAGTAACATTAATTAATTGAAATTGTAGGTACTGTTTTAGACACAACTACGATATTTTATCTTAGTTATTTTCACAGTATTCTGTAGTCAGCAAACACTGAGGGAATTTGATCCGTATTAAACTTTAAGTGTCATAAGTGTACATTTTATTGTAAGGAAAACAGACTACATTGTTATTTTAAATATGGTCGTGCTTGCATGGGAGCTGCTGTTTACAAATGTCATAATGTGAGAGAACTGTGCAAGTTCATTCTGTAGTGGTCTTTTGATGAAAGAACCACACCAGTTTAAGTGGACCCGTTCTGAAGACAGGCACGCAAGTGTCAGTTTGCAACCAGCATAGCAAGTGCTGCTGAGTTGTCCGACGAACAATACCGATCTAAAGAACATTTGGTTGGGTCGCGCAAGTACTCAAACTGTCAGAACGCAGATAACTGGTAGTCCAAAAGCGCGGCAAGTCTCACACGGTCCTTACACTAACAATAATAGAAAAAAATAATAATGTCAATAAATAATTATAAAAATTATAAATAAAATAACAAAAGGTCAAATAAAAAAAATGTCACGATAGGCGATAATGTCATTGTTAAAAAAATAAAAAATAATAAACGTAATGTCAAATTGTATATAAAAAGCGTAACTTATGTTACAAACATGTCAACATGACCTGTGCTGAATTTACAGCGGCTCATTCCCAAGCCTGACTATCTTAAGTAGTCTTTTATTTTATAAAATGCTTTACAGTAAAGTTTAGCCTTTATTACACTTTTAAAATTATTTAGGCTCAAATTTTGGCTTTTTTAAAAGAACTACTGATACTAAATACACTACAGAAAAACTGTAAACGTTGTTTATAAAAACATAGCGGCCCGCTCCGGCTTCGCACGGGTATAAAATAAATAGCCTACCTATGTGATTAAAATCGATCCAGTAGTTTTGATTTATTGATTGCTGCCCGTGGCCCGCACGCGTTAGGAGTAAAACAATCCCCCTTTCCCTATACCAGGAAGATTTCCTGCCATCTTTGGAATATCTAAATTCATACAAGCACTACATTTTTACTTATACTTTTTAAAAAAAAGACGAGGTACTATGTTCGGCTGATTGTTGTTTTTTTTTTTGTATGTTTACCGATTACTCCGCCATTTATGAACCGATTTCCAATACCTATTCTTGTTTTGTTTAATAGTTACCTTGTGTTTGGGCTTGAGGGATTCGTATTGGTGAGCATTTTGCACCAAGATGATGGTGACTCTCATTAGGGGTCTGATGATGTGGACGAAATTACAGCTCAGGGAACTCCTGAACGGTCTACAGTAACTACATTGTGTTTGGACTTAATTCATTTATATTAATGAAAACTTCGCACTTATATGGATTACAATGAAGTTATGGAGTAAATCTGATGATGGAGCAGGATGTCTCAAGTAGCCGTCGTCTTCTCATTCGAAAACCACTATACTTGCTTGCTCTGCCTATCACTTAAAACGATGAAATAAATAAAAATATCAAAAATATTTTAACTTCAAAAAGTAAACTAAAAAGCAAAAAATAAATTTTCTTTGTAGAAATTAATACATGTTTTCATTTAGTTAAATAGAAAATAATATTACCGAATAACCAATTTATAAATTTGAAGTCGGTGCCAAGTAAATGCTACATACCAAACAATAACAGTATTAGAGAAATACATTATTTATTAAGTTAGATAAATACCTAGACCTACTACTTCAAATTAGCAAGAGGTCAGTAGGTAATATCTTTACACTATTATTGTTTTACTTGGCACCGTCTTTGAGATTATAAAATAGTTAATAAATATTATTTTCTATTTAACTAAATGAAAATATGTATTACTTTGTAAAGTAAATTTATTTTTTGCTTTTTAGTTTACTTTTTGAAGTCGGTTTTTTGAAACATAGTAAAGTAGTTCCATTATTTCAGTCAAGTGATAACCAGAACCCAATCACTATAGGCTCGTCTCTATTTGGCCAGTACTCAGTAAAGTGTTCGAAAGGTTAATGCTTACTCAAATGCTGCGTCACTTTAACACGAACTCTATTTTCCATGACCAACAATACGGGTTCACCAAGGGACGTTGCACTACGCACGCAGGAGTATCGCTTATAAAACGGGTTTTCGTCAGGTGAGAAAAAGCTCAGGATGCTTTTGGAATATTTTGTGATCTTTTAAATGCTTTTGCCTGTGTTGAGCACGAGACACTATTACTGAAGTTAAACACTACGGCATTCGGGGGGTATCTCTAGATTTATTAAAGTCATACCTTCAAGAAAGACAAATTAAAATACAAGTAAACAATGTTAACTCCGTGAGTTTACTTTGTTTACTATCGTGCTAGTTTATCCATGGGCGTGCCGCAGGGCTCAATGTTAGGTCCTTTCCTATTTTCGGTATATGTGAATGACCTGCCCTATTTGTTTCAAAATGAACTGCACATGGTATATTCGCTGATTTTAAAATAAATAGACGAAGAAACAAATATGACGAGGTTAATAATGCTTTAATGAAAGTTCAATATTCGTTTACAATAAACAACTTATTACTTAACGATAAAAAGACTAAATGCATTAGAATTATTTTGGCAAAAGTTAAAAGTAACGTATGTGATGATATATTATTATATGATCAGAAACTAGAATTTGTAAAAGAGACTAGTTTCCTGGAGATTACTGTAGACGACAAGCTTTTTTTTTTTTTTTCTTATGTAATTGGTCGGCAAACGAGCAGACGGATTACCTGATGGTAAGCAATCAGCGCCGCCCATGGACACCCGCAACGGAGGAGTTACGAGTGCGTTGCCGACCTTTTAGGGATTAGGGATTTGGAGATTTAGGGATTGAGGAGGGATTGGGGGCGGGGAAGGATTGGGCATCCGGTAACCTCACTCACACGGCGAAACACAACGCTGTGGTTGTTTCACGCCGGTCTTCTGTGAGGCCGTGGTATCACTCCGGTCGAGCCGACCCATTCGTGCCGAAGCATGGCTCTCCCACACTTAAAGCTGCAATGGGGGCCCCACATCAGATCCCTAGCAGCACGATTGACCTCTGCAGCTTATGCTGTTTGGAAGATCCGTCAGCTAACCGACATAGGCACGGCAAGAATAGTGTACTTTACCTACTTTCACAGCATAATGTTGTTTAGAATTCTGTTGTGGGGACAAGCATCCGACGTCGAGTCTTCCTTTATCTTGCAAAAGCGTTAAAGCTCTCAGGGAAAAGTTTAGTTTAGTTTCAACATCATGACCGTACCAATTTATACAATTTACGTACAATTTATTTATGAAAACATTATGTATGTTAGGAAAAACCTACAGTTATTTGGAAAAGTATCTGACAAGCATGACTATCAAACTAGACACAGAAATAGATTAAGTCAGCCTTTATTTAGATTAGCAAAAGTACATAAATTTTTCTCCGGATTTTGTGTTTATTTTATTATGATAAAATCCCAGGTTAAATACAAGATCTTAATAAAAGCAGGTATAAATTATGTTTAAAGAAAACTTTATGTAGACAAGCATACTACAAACTAAATGATTATATCTATACTAATATTATAAAGAGGTAAAATTTGTAAGTTTGTATGTAGGGGGTAATCTTTGGAACCGCCGGTCGGAATTCCAAAATTCTTTCACTGATAGATAGATACAACGTTCCTGAGTTCTATAGGCTATAAAACACGCTACGATTAAATGGAGCCGAGCAGCGGGTGAAACCGCGCGAGAATAGCTAGTACAAGATAAAAATGTATGGAGGCTAGCTGGTCCTACTCCACAATCATCAAATTGTTGGTACACCATGTTTTCAATTGTTGATGAACTTCAAAGTTTTTTGTAAATGTGAGTGCCCTGTTATCTATTATAATTAAATAACACTTGTAGAAAATAGGTACTTGTGTCAGCTGGGAGTTGCCATGCTCACTCGGAAGTCTAATTGGGGTGGGGTACTGGATCGCTCGATTCCCTACTATAATGTGGCTGAGTTGGGCGGTGCTGGTGTTCGTGTCATGTTCGTGAACGGGCGCCGCCTATTGGGACTGGCCAACTCGAGACTGTCTAAAGTTGCTGTTGAGGTTCATTTCTTCTTCGGATCTTTTGGCTAAACATTAGTTTTACACTGTTCTCACATGTCAGACCCGACTAAATGATGGAACAAAGACATGAATTGTAAAACTGTTTGAATAAGAGTAAACATGGAGTTTCTGGCTCGTTCTTCTCCATAGGAAACTACACTTTGTACCGAGCAAATAGCTTCACTAGAGGACAGACCGACAGACTGACATGCATAAAGTTAAACCACCTGAATTTTTTTTTCTTTTTTTACTTGGCGTTCAAAATTGCCTACTGTGGTCTATTTGAAATAAATTATTTTGACTTTTGGCTTGTAACTCTATACCAGAGTATCGACTATCGAGAAAGAGGGATGGAGCTATAAGAGGTGTATAGCTCCATCCCTCTTTCTCGCCCGAAAGATTCTGGTCGGGCAGCGAGCAACCCTTACTCGCCGACCGCAGACCTGCGCTTACGGTGGCCGGAGATCGTCTATCAATCCCCGACGCCCGGAATGTCTACTGCGGCGGCTAGGGCGTGAGGAGGATAGTTCCCTCAAGTGCTCCGCCTCCTCCTTTGCAAGCATCACTGCTTCGCAGAAAAGGGAGACGGCTTTCCAATTCCTCTCGCTACGAACCATGGCCTCGACTACGGCTACGGAATCCTAAACATGTTTAAACGTTATAGACCAACATTGGAGAGTAGAGAAAGTAGTGAGGTGCCATCTGCTGCGCAAGTGTGGGCACATTGTTCTGCAATGAGTGAATAATACAAACAAGCCAGGGGCTAGTCTAAGACACTAAACGGAGCCGAGCGGGAATTAGCCACGCTTCCTGCCTGTGAGCGCGCGCGCCTTTGTTCGGCGCTCGTGCGGTCGCGGGAGGCGCAGGTGCGGCGCGAGGTCGCGGCGCGGACGTTACTCACGCCTGAGGTTATCTCCATTAGCGGGCGCTCGGCGCTCGGCGCTCAGTCAGCATGTGGGCCCTGCGCGCTGTGGCCGCGCTGGCCGCGTCGCTCGCCGCCGCCTCCCTGCTGCCGCTCGACGCCGAGCACCTGCACGCCAGCGTCGGCGGGTTCGCGGTCATGAACTGTCACCTCGACTTCCCTTTCGGCAATGAGATTCCTTACCACTTGCAATGGGACAAAGATGTAAGTACCTGCGAGCTACATGTTCCGCTCCTACACTCCGGCTAGCTCTCTGCCCACACAACCTACTTGACGCTATCATTAGGCTAGCTGGCTCGTCAGCTGCCGGCACTCACACACATCCGAGACACCTAACATATTTACACTTATTGATGATATCTTAATACACTCGTATTGTGGTTTACAATGTAAGGGATACTTGTAGCGTCTCTTTGTACTTATATACCGCATCCATCGTATGTAGCTTCTAGTGGCCCCGGGCCCGCGACACACTGTAGGTGATTATTTTCTATATTTTTAATTTGTAGTTTAAGTAATGGCCTATGTAACCAGCGCATCTTTGCCAGGCATTGGTTTCCCGCCAAGAACTTATTCAAATTGTGGGAAAAGTAGTAATAGTGGTTATACACCAAAGCTGCTTGAGACTTGCGTGCTTCACCATCAATCTGTCCAGTTGTTCACAGCGCTTACGATTGTCGAATAGAATCCATTTGACTTTCAAAATTCAATTATTTATATGCCTGCTGAGGAGTGCAAGGCACGTCTCGGCGCCTTCTGTCTTGGAGGCACTCTACCTATGAGCGGGCTGATTGCTTCATGTCTATGTGACAATAGGAACAGCATTGTGTGTGTCTCGCGTCACCTCGCGTACATCTTCGTTCCGGCATACAACGAGTTCAAGGAAGCAGTAGCAGGCGTTAGTTATTTGCTGACCCCAAGTACATTTTTAAGTATCAAGAATTTAGTTTTTGTTTTGTTATGTTTTAGTTATAATAAGGTATTGCAGGTGGCGCTTCAGTCTTGCAATAAACATTGCTCCAAACACACGTGCGTTTGATTTAACAGTGGCGACGAGGAAAAACAAAATGGCGGTCGGAAAAGTGCGGGAATTTGAAATAAAATCAGGGAATTGGTCATCGTATATCGAAAGACTCGAAATGTATTTCATAGTGAATAAAGTGGAAGATAAGCTTAAATTACCTACTTTAATTTCATTTATGGGAGAAGAAGCATATGATCTTCTGTCTACATTAGCCAGCCCATTAAGACCGTCAGAATTATCTTACAATAAGGCTGTCGAAATATTAGCTGCTCATTTACAGCCTAAACCATCTATTGTGGCTGAAAGATACAAGTTTCGACAACGACGTCAACTTACCAACGAATCTATAGCGGATTACGTGACGGAGCTTAAAAAACTTGCAAAATTTTGCGAGTTTAAATCTGCTCTGGATGATAATCTTAGAGATCAGTTGGTATGTGGCCTGAGTAGCGAGATGATTCGACAAAAATTGTTTGCGGAGGAAAATTTACCATACAATAAAGCGGTCAGTCTGGCGTTGTCATTGGAGGCTGCAGAGCGGGACGCAAGTGCAGTGGAGCCTGGCAATGGGGAAGCAGCTGAAGGAATACACAAGCTCAACCTTTACAGTTGTCCGAGATGTGGCGGCAAGCATAAATCAAACGATTGTACATTTAAATCCTATGTGTGCAGCGGGTGCGGTGAAACAGGACATTTGAGAAGAATGTGTCAAAGGATTGCAAGACGGGAAGAGCTGGCGGATTCTGCCAGTGTTGGAGGTCGGTACGGATCATCATCATATTCGAGGGGGAAACATGTATCTGTTCGCGGCAACGGCGGGCGCGCCACGGTCGGCGGGGCAAAGCGCGGGCAGCGCAATACGGCGAGAGGTAACGGAACACGAATATTCTACAAGCAAGACGATGAGCAAGATGAAGAAGTGCACACTGAAAGCATGAATAATAATATGTACTCTACGGACGATACCGACGAGTGCGACGACGAGCCTATGTATCAATTATCACTAAGCAATTATAAACCGGTGCGTATATCTGTTAAGGTTCAAAATCACTTACTTAAAATGGAAATTGACACAGGTTCAGCATTGTCGTGCATTCGTAAACAGTATATGATGAAATTATCAGTGATTTGCCTTTAAAAAAATGTAATTTAAGTTTAAAATTCTATGATGGTTCTATATTCAACCTTTAGGTTTCATAGAGGACAACTGTTCACTATAAACGGTGTAGTTAAAACTTTAGATTGTATGTTTTTAATAAAGGAATTACGAATTTATTAGGTCGGCAATGGTTAGCCGAACTCAAATACCGATAAAGTGTGTAAGGTCAATTCGAGCACCAATCATATAGTTAATCATCTTAATAATGGATTATGCAGCAATCAGATGATCCAAACAATTGTTTCTAGACATGAGTCCCTGTTTGATGGTACATTGGGCACTTTACGGGCGGTGTGGCTGAGTTGAAGGTGCGAGAGGGAGCGGTGCCTGTGTACATGTCGCGCGCGTCCTCTACCGTATGCGCTGCGTGAACGCGTCGACGCGGAGCTAGACGCGATGCTGAAGACCGGCGTCATTGAGCCGTTGATCACTCCGACTGGGCCACTCCACTGGTTGTGGTACGGAAAGCAGATGGCGGTTTAAGAATTTGTGCTGATTACAAGGTAACCCTTAACAAAGTCTTAGCGATCGACAGATTTCCGATTCCGAGATGGACGATTTATTTAGTGAACTTAGTGGAAATATGTATTTTACTAAATTAGATTTGTCGCAAGCATATAACCAGGTGGTTTTATCTGAAAGCTCTAGAAATTACACAGTAATTAATACACATAGGGGTTTATTCAAATACTGTCGTTTAGTTTATGGTTTATCTTCGAGCCCAGGGATTTTTCAAAAACTAATGGTGAATATGTTCAAGAACACTCCCAATGTAACCATTTTTTATGACGACATCTTAATAAGGAATAAAGACCTGTCTTCGCATTTAGAATCTATAGAAAAAGTTTTAAAAATTGGAGTCAAATGGATTAAAAATTAAAAAAAGTAAATGCGAGTTTCTGGCTAGAGAAGTAAAATATCTTGGTTTTATCATTGATAGGAGTGGTGTACGAGTAGATCCAGACAAAGTAAAGGCTATTGTCACTATGCCCCATCCAACAAATGTTTCTGAGCTAAAATCTTTTTTAGGGATGGTAAATTTTTATGGGAAGTTTATTAAAAATTTAAGCATGCACCTAGCACCGTTGTACGAACTTTTGAAAAAGGGGAATCATTGGAAATGGGGTCCCAAACAGAATACGGCATTTATACAAGTCAAAAAATTTTTGTGTAGTACTAGCACACTCGAGCATTTTGATCTGAATAAGGAATCTGTTTTGACTGTCGACGCGAGCGCGCGCGGATTAGGCGCGGTGCTAGCGCAGCGCACACCCGGCGGCTGCGATGAGCGAGTAGTGGCGTTTGCCTCACGGTCGCTCACGGCTCACGAGGTACACTACAGCCAAATTCATAAGGAGGCATTAGCGATTGTATTTGCTGTTGACAAATTTCATCAGTATTTATATGGAAGGAAATTTGTACTGCGTACAGACCACAAGCCGCTTGTTAGTTTTTGGATCAAATATAGGTATACCAAGTACGGCGGCCAGTCGTCTGCAGCGTTGGGCAATTAAGCTATCCGCTTACGATTTTACGATTGAGTATATTAAAACAGATAAGAATGCAGCTGACGTTCTATCTCGATTAATTTATTCGCAAAAAAACGAGGTACCACGTGAGGAGATTAAACTACCTGAACAAACCTATTTACATTTTGCAACGGAAGCTTTGCTCTTAGACTACAATGTTATTAAAAAGGAAACTCGACGGGACCCTATTTTATGTCGGGTTTTAAGTTATATAGTGGATGGGTGGCCGTCCGAGGTCGAAATTAAGGAACTAAAGCCATATTTTAATAGAAGACGAGAATTATATTGTGAACTAGGTTGTATTATGTGGGGTCATCGGGTAGTTATACCACCATCGTGTTATAAAAAAGTCCTTCGTGAACTTCACGACTCGCATATGGGAATAGTGAAGACTAAATCACTTGCTCGAAGTTATGTGTGGTGGCCGGGCATAGACGAGGCTCTGGAGGCGGAGTGTCGCGCGTGCGGCGTTTGTGCTGCGATGGCCGACGCACCATCCGCGCACGCTTCTCACTCATGGCCTTGGCCTTCGCGACCTTGGTCACGGTTGCACATCGACTTTTTGGGACCGATATCGGGAGTAACATATCTTATTGTAGTCGACTCGTGTTCTAAATGGATTGAAGCTATTAAAATGAATAGAACGACTGCGCAAGCTGTCATTACCGTATTACGCAAACTATGGTCGCAATTTGGTCTTCCGAAGCAAGTCGTTAGTGATAACGGACCACCATTTACGAGTGTTGAATTTCAGAAATTTTTGGAACATAATGGTATTGAACACATTTTTACAGCCCCTTACCACCCATCTTCGAATGGTGCGGCTGAAAGCGCAGTCAAAATTTGTAAACGCGCGATAAAAAAGGCTTTAAAAGATAATTTAGATGTTGATATAGCGTTATCCAGATTTTTATTGACATACCGGAATACAGAACATACTACTACTGGTGATAGTCCAGCCAAAATATTACAAGGGCGTAGTCTTCGTTTAAGGTTAGATAATTTGAAGCCGGAAAGGGAATTTCGAGTAGCGTTACGTCAGGCACGTAGTGAGTACTATAAGGGGGGTTCACAGCGTTTATTTGAGACTGGTGCTCAAATTTGGTATCGTGATTATAGGAGCTCAGATAATTGGCAACCTGGTACAATAATTAAACGGTTAGGCAACACAGATTATTCTATAAAAACAAGTTTCGGTACGGAAATACACAGACATGTCGATCAGCTGAGACAAAGGGTTATAGCCAGTAACGTTCCAAACACTACAGTAGGGTTAGACATACCTACAAAATTGGAAATAAATAAGAAATCACGCAAGTCTTTGGCCATCCCCTCAACCAATGTTGAGGTACCAGACGGCAGTGAGCAGGAGCGTAATATTACAAATCCTGCTATTCCAAGGAGCCCTAGGTTGGATTCCGAAACAGGCCCAGATGTGGTCACGCCTACAAGCCCTCAACCTGATTCCAATGTGTCTAATGTACCATTAGATCAAAATAAGACGGCTGCTAGCACTGGGGTAGGAAAAAACCGTCCACAAAGATTTCGTAAACCACCTGTTCGGTATGGGTTTGAGGAAGAGTTTTTTTAACCAAGTGTAGGTTACTGTTAGGTACTAAGGTTTCTTTTTTTCTTTTTGTTTTTATTGTTGTTGTGTTGTATGTTCATTAACACTTATATTAGTTAAATAAGCATGTACCTAGTTAAGTAAGACTTGTTTGTTACTTATAGTTTTAAGTTTATGATAGGTAATCTAATTGTTAGTAGAACTAAATAAGGGTGGAGGTGTTATGTTTTAGTTATAATAAGGTATTGCAGGTGGCGCTTCAGTCTTGCAATAAACATTGCTCCAAACACACGTGCGTTTGATTTAACATGTTTTAACGTAAACTTTCTACATCCGATGTAGAAAGTTTTCACTAATAAAACATCAAAAATTGGCAGCTACAAAAAAGATTTATAAAGTTTACCAAACTAGGCAATCCGTCCAAAGCGCGGACTTCGCACAAAGGATAGTTCCGTTGTTTCCAGTCTGTCACAATAAGGGTCCCCACTTAAGAGTTATTGTATTTTTTTTGTGACGAGAAAATCATCGCGTTAATTCTCCCGTCCAGGGTGAGGCGAGAGGAAGTATCCTCCGTTCTCCAGCTCTAGGCCTAGGCCGCGGTGCCTCATCCCCGGCTAAACATCAGCCCTATAGGACTCCGTCTGTGGTGGTGGGTGGTCTATTGGCTTGTTGACGCGCGCGTGGAACGCTATGCGCTGTACACTCGGGTCTGATTCTGGTCGTGGCGAGCTACCATTTTTTTTTTGTGACGAGAAAATCATCGCGTTAATTCTCCCGTCCAGGGTGAGGCGAGAGGAAGTATCCTCCGTTCTCCAGCTCTAGGCCTAGGCCGCGGTGCCTCATCCCCGGCTAAACATCAGCCCTATAGGACTCCGTCTGTGGTGCTGGGTGGTCTATTGGCTTGTTGACGCGCGCGTGGAACGCTATGCGCTGTACACTCGGGTCTGATTCTAGTCGTGGCGAGCTACCGTTTTTTTTTTGTGAGGGGAAAATCATCAAATGACTTCTCCCGCCCAGGGCCGGGCGGGAGGGAGAGTGTCAGACTCTTACTGACTAAAAACCCCCCTGTTCCTTCTCCTGCTCTGGGCCGAGGTCGCGGTGCCTCATTGCGCTTACCCCGCAACCCCGGCTGAACATCAGCCCTATGGGGCCCCGTCTGTGGTGGTCTATTGGCTCTTTGAGGCGCGCGCGGAACACTACGCGCCATACGCTCGGGTCTGGTTCTGGTCGGGCGGCGAGCTACACTTACTCGCCTAGGCGCGAGGAGGATAGTTCCCTCGCGCGCTCTGCCTCCTCCTTTGCGAGCATAACTGATTTGCAGAAGGAGGAGATAGCTTCCCAGTTCCTCTCGCTATGAACCATGTCCTCGATTAAGGTCGGGCGCGAGAGGTCGCCGCCGCCGATCGCTTCCCTGAGGACACGGCGGTGCTCAGCCCGGGCAGGGCATACCGCCACCGTATGCTCCACCGTATCCTCTAGCTGGTCCTCACAATGACGACACTCGGACGTTTCCTCCCGCTGGATCCGAAACAGGAACCTACCGAAGCTGCCGTGCTCGGTAAGCACCTGCGTCAGGCGGAAGGTGAGGACGCCGTGGCGTCTCGCAAGCCACTCCTCAAAGAGGGGTCTTACCGCTGCTATAATAGCGTGCCCGGCCCTCGGTTGCGACAGTCGCTGCTTCCACTCAGCCATGAAATCTCGCCGGAGTTCATTCCGCCACGCACTAATTTGGCGTCTGCGCGCAAACTGTAGACGCGCGCGAGCTCCTTAGCTTCCAGATCCCAAGGCGGTGATCCGGCAAGGAGGTTGGCCATGGGCCATGTAAATTGCATGCAACCCTAGTAAATCTGTAGACAGGTCAAATCTGTACCTACATCTATGTATACTAATATTATAAAAAAAACCGACTTCAAAAAGCACCTAAACTAAAAAGCAAAAAATAAATTTACTTTGTTCAAAGTAATACATATTTACATTTAGTTAAATAGAAAATAACATTTCATAAGTATTTTATAATCTTAAAGTCGGTGCCAAATAAAACTATAGTAGTGTAATGATATTACCTACATACCTCTTGCTAGTTTGTTGATTAGTAGGTAACTATCAATATATTTTTCTAACTGTTGTCTAACTGTTGTCGTTTGGTACTTATGTAGTATTTACTTGGCACCGACATCAAAATTATAAAATACTTATGAAATGTTATTTTCTATTTAACTAAATGTAAATATGTATTACTTTGAACAAAGTAAATTTATTTTTTGCTTTTTAGTTTAGGTGCTTTTTGAAGTCGGTTTTTTTTTGTAAAAATATTTTATTTCAACATTTTAAGTGATAGGCAGATAGCTATAATGCTTCTCGATAGAGAAGACGACCGCTACTTGAGATCGAAAATTACGGTAATGGTAGTCCGAGTTAGTTAGCTTTCAGTGCTGTAAATCGTTGAGAAATTCCCTCGAATGTCAATGACCTCCATCATCAGGTATATTGCAGACCTTCATTATACATATACCATATAGGTGCAAAGGTTTCATCAATATAAATGAATTAAGTCCAAACACGAGGTAGTTACTGTAAACCGTTCAGAGCTGTCCATCGTTCTCATCATCAGACCCTTAATGACAGTCACAACCAATCTTGGTGCAAAGTACTCACCAATACGAATCATTCAAGCCCAAACACAAGACAACTACTACAAATAGTCAATGAGACCCCCTTGACTGTCTTCCGGCTCCATCATCACAATTTACTCCATATCTTCATTGTCATCCATAAAGGTGCAAAGTTTTATCGATATAAATAAATTAAGTCCAAACACGAGGTAGTTACTGTAAACCGTTCAGGAGTTCCCTGAGCTGTCCATCGTTCTCATCATCAGAACCTGAATGATAGTCACAACCAATCTTGGTGCAAAGTGCTCACCAATACGACTCATTCAAGCCCAAACACAAGGCAACTACTCCAAATAATCAAGGAGATCCCTCGACTGTCTTCCGGCACCATCATCAGGTCATCAGGTCGAGTTTGAACATCGACATGTTGTAGCGTTGTCAAAAGCCTACTAAAACCACGTGCAAAAACACCACTCGCCCCTACAATTTTTGAAAGTTCCTCTCGATTTCTCTGGTCTTCCATCATCAGATCCTGGTTTCCTTATCATGGGACCATTCTGAGACTGTCTCCTTTCCAACAAAAGAATTAAAAGAATTATCAAAATCGGTTCATAAATAACGGAGATATCGGCGAACAAACATAAAAAAAAGCATATATACGGTCGAATTGAGAACACTCCTCCTTTTTGGAAGTCGGTTAAAAAGGTAAAATTTTTAAGTTCCTAAGTTTGTATGTTTATATGTTTGTAAGTTTGTATGTAGGGGGTAATCTTTGTAACCGCTGATCGGATTGCCAAAATTCTTTCACTTATAGATAGCTACCTACAATGTTCCTGAGTGCTATAGGCGTATGAAACATCACGCTACCTACGATTAAATGGAGCCGAGCAGCGCGGCAGCGGGTGAAACCGCGCAACAAATGCGCAGTCATGCACGTAAAGAGAGGGGAGATTGTGGAATCGGATGGAACACAAATGTTTGATAGCACAAACTTCAGGTCCTTTTCTCCGACACCGAACCGAAAGCTATAAGTACTTGGGTATGTCAGAAGCGTGCGGGCATCGATACACGTCATGAAACAAACGTTGTGGGAACGCTTCTTTGGCTGCCTGAGGAAAGTTCTAAACCTGTAGTACGGTACTAAGCACTGAGGACCGCAAGATTGTGTGGCAAAGCAAACAGGTGCACGGACGCTACTATAGGGCTTTACATGGGCCAGAGGTAGGTTGCTTAGCGTCCGTCAAGCATCGATCGATCAAGCTGTCGCACGATGATTATTGATATGACAATCCCACATGACAAGAATCTTGTAAAAGCTGAAAAAGATAAAGCAAATAAATATCGTGATGTACCTATATTTTTTGCAAAACTCATGAAGTACCTACCTACTCACCGTACAAAAACTATTCATGACAAAGACATTGACATTAGCTACTTTTTTTAAATTCAAATTTGTACATAAAATATTTTGTTATTTCTGCCAAAGAAGTAAATCGCCGGTGCAAAACTGATGAGTGGTGCATTTTGCTGCAAGTTGCTGCGGCCTCATTACGGCAATTCGTAGTACGCGCACCTACTGCGCGTGTTAATATGACAAAAGGTATTCGAGTGCGTATATCAGTATATTGGTCAACTGTTGATATTATAAATATAAATAATAATAATTTTCAGATACAATATATGTAGGTTATACATATATGATTGAAATTATAATTGTCAGGTGAGGAGGGAACAAAAACAAAACTGTTTACGGTTTCCCAACAACCAAAGTGCAACTAGATTTGGTCAAACGATGAATGGCATTTCTTGAAGTGAACAAACTTGCTTCCTGAAAGACCGGCAACGCATTCGTAACTCCTCTGGTGTGTTGCGAGTTGCGACTGTCCATGACGGCGCCGATTGCTTACCAGCAGGTAATTCGTCTGTAGGTTTGCCGTGACTCCGCCCCGACAGGATACGTGTCTGACTAGATCATACTTGTGTTTAGGCGACAATTTGTGTTTGGATAATTCGAATAAGCGATGGTCATAGTGAACAGTGCTGGGCAGCGAGTGGGCGCGCTTATAATCACTGTCGCTTGTTGTGGAACACAATGGCACCGCGCCCAGCACGCACACAATGCTCGGCCCGGCCTGTCTGCTACATGACCTACTCGCACGCCTCCTGTCTGTAGGGGGCAGCGCAAGAAACTGCGTTTCATCCAAATCGCACTTTTTCAGATTGATAACTGATGTTTCCCGGTGATGGTCATAGTGACATGCCGAGGATCCATCATCCAGACTGCATGGTTGGCACGATAGCTGAGCAAATTGGCACAAATTGTTGTTTCGGGTCTTGGTGTCATGTGTATATGAAATTGTATGTTTGTAAACGCACCCACGACACCCACAGGGAAAGTCCTAGTGTGTGTAATCCTGTTTAAATCTTAAAGTTGAGTGATTTTGTTTACAACCGGTTGAAGATAAGTATTTGCTGCTTGGGTAATTCTTCGGGAGCTGAGAAGAGTGTCAGCGCTCGCGCACACTTTGTATAGGCACGGCTAATGACTCCGTCCGTCCTCCGACGCAACGACCAGGCTCACACTTATTATTTATTCATCTTCGCATTCGTCATCTTACGCCGGGTACTGCATCGTTACGGTTAACTAGCTTAATGAAGCTACCTATCTACTCGGCCGCGTCGGTAATTGGGCTCTATTCGTCCATTCCTTGTTGGACGCGTAGCCCGCAGCGCAGGCGCCGCGTGCATGCCCCGTGCTCGTACGAGAACATCTTTAATAGGGCAGCACCATCGCCCTCCACCGAGTAGGGGTCCGTGGGACGCTCGACGCTCAGCTGACGCTAGCGCCCGCACGCTGGCCGCGCTAAATGCGCGTGGGAGCTCTAATTGTGTGGGTACACGTCGCCAGCCACTCGAGCCGCCCCCCGCCCCGCGCCCCCCGCCCCGCGCAGCTCCTCGCTCGTGACCCTGCCGCGCTAGGCCCGCGAGGCACGTGGCGCTCTAGATTGATGGCGGCGCAGTGCACATGCGCGCTCTTCTTGCGGAGGCAGGCAGGTGCCGACCTCATTATGTGTGGTCACTCCCTACCCACCAACATAGACATAGATAGTGCGAAGTAATTTACAGTAACGTCCTTATAGTTTTACCCGTATAGATCCCATTTCCGAGAGACCTCCGGGGTAAAGACTCTGAGTATATACTTGTTTCAAAATTAATCTAAATTAGTTCAACGGCGAGGTGAGAGGAAGAAGAGTAGAGAGACAGTTTCGTATGCGTAATATTGGAATAAGATGTGGTGTGCGCAGGGCGAGACGATATTCTCGTGGTACAGCGGCGACGGCGCGGCGCGCGTGGCGGACCGCTGGGGCGGGCGCGTGCGGCGGGTGCTGGACGCCCGGCCCGGCCTGGGCCGCGGCTCCATCAACGTCAGCGCCGTGCGCGAGACCGACGCCGGCCTCTACCGCTGCCGCGTCACCTTCCCCAACCGCACGCCGCCCGCGCGCAACAATGGCACCTTCTACTACCTCCAAGTCGACGGTCTGTCACCACTTACTGCAAACATTATCTAAATAACACACATTTCTCCACTTGGAATTGTTCGTATAGGCGTAATAGGTTTGTTAACTTTCAGGAGGTAATCTGATAGTGACGCCGCCTATGAACGTGACGGTGCTGGAGGGCGAGCGCGCCGAGCTCGAGTGCCTGCCCAAGAGCCCGGAGTCGGCGGTGGAGTGGTTCAAGGACGGCACGCCGCTGGCCGAGCTGCCGGAGCTGGCGCTGCGCTCGGAGCGGCCCGCCAACGGCTCGCTCGTGCTGCGCCGCGCCGCCTCCACCGACCCCGGCGAGTACGAGTGCCGCGTGCACGACCCCGACTACCCCGACCTGCAGAGCGCCAGCGCCTTCCTCGACGTGCAGTGTTAGTGCACACACACACACACATTTACAGCTTATGACTACTTGACAGGTGTATGCCTGCAGGAACTCCATATCAATAATACAATAATACTAGTTGTTTTATTAAACTTTTTGTTTTTAGCTTTTATTAGAAACTGAAATAACCACTTGAAGGAACATTAATCTATAGGGGAAATAAATAACCAACTGACAGAAAAACCACGAATGAAAGAAATCGAATTGTAGGTAACTCCACCTTTTAGGGTTCCATAGTTTCGCCATGTCTGCCTGTCTGTCTAATTATCCGCCCGCGGATAATCTCAGTGACCATCAGCAGTAGAAAGCTGAAATTGTAGGTAGCGAGTAATTTATTTTTTCATTTCAACCCTAACGTGTGACATATTGTTGTAAAAGGTATTTAAAAACGAATAGGGGTTTACTAAGATATTTTTTTGATAAAGTTAATTTTTTTTGGAAATAATCGCTCCAAGAGTTTAAAAAGATGTGTACACCCTCCTCCGTCTAACTTTTGGGCCATACTTTTAGAAAATATGGGAAAAAACACGAAATTTCTTCATAAATAATTTCTACCAAAATTATTTTGAATTCGGTGGGTTGAACAGATTTTGAAATATTGTACAGAAATTAAATTATTAAATTTTCTTTGTTTGTATACTTCATGTACCTGAACGTATCTTTAAAAAAAAATTGTTTAAACGACCACCAAATACTTAACATAAATCAGTTTGTATAAATTAGTAACCCAAATCCCTAAGAGATGGCGCTGTACTTTTGCTACTTTATGATGAATTGCGTTTTGAGATTTACAATTACCAACAAGTAAAACGGAGTGAATAGATACACGAAAGGGGTGATAAGATGTTGGCGGATTTTCCTAGTATCTATTCACCCCTCTTCCGACTCTATCCACCCCGTTTTACCGTTACCTCCATTGGGTAAACTTATTGTGACAGACGAGAAACTACGGAACCCTACACTGAGCGTAGCCCGATACGCTGTTGGCCGGTTTTTTAATTCGGTAGCCATTCTGCCTAATTTTGGTATTAGTTATGTTTACATAATTTGTCGAGCACACTCAATACGCGTTTGTATACCGTGTGTTCCAGATAAAGCCAAAGTAGTTTACGCACCGAAAGAACGCTTCCTTCCTTACGGCAAACCCGCCAGCTTAGACTGCCACTTCAGCGCCAACCCGCCGCTCACCAACCTGCGCTGGGAGAAGGACGGCTTCTTGTTTGACCCCTACAACGTGCCCGGAGTCTTCTACAGCAGGAATGGAAGCTTGCTGTTCAACCAGGTCTTTGTCTTATACAGGGTGTAAGGGACAGCCTTCCGCAAACTGATAGGGTGGATTCAGTATATCGTCTTAAGTTGACCGGTACTTGAAATTATTTCAGGAACGTTATGGGAACCCAATTAAACCGATTTGTTTCATTACCTTACACGCAATGTATCGCTACCACCGCAAACGCACGCAGCGAACGGCAGCGCTTTTAGTATTATTACTTTACACTATGGGCAGCGCCGCGACCTTACCATTCGGACAAACGGTCGCGCTAACAATAAATTATTATTTACAAGTTAGCCGCATTACTTACAAAAGACAATTTAATAATCGCGCTCGCGCCACGTTTTAATAACAATAAATTATTATTTAAAAGATAGCCGCATTACTACAAAAGAAAATCTAACAATCACAACATGGTAACTGATAAATGATAAAAAAAGAAAAATGCGTAGGTACCTTAGAATCGCTCCGGTTTCCGGCTCTGGAAAGCATTTGTGATGCGGTCTCGCATTTCGTACTCACTTGCACACGCACTCACAAACACTTTTTCTTTTACGTAACCCCACAAAAAGGGGTCCAAATGGGTTAGGTCTGGGGATCGTGCTGGCCACGGTTGCGGTCCAAACCTACCTAAACTACGTTTAAATAGGAAAGCACTGGTAAGTGGTAGCGTCTCGTTACGTTAGCGAACCAATTCCAAAATCCACGTAGGTAATTGGTCTTCCGGCGCCTTTTTGTCTGGGAACAATGGGCTGGTTTTCTAGCAAGCGTTGATAGTCACCAGTAATTATCCTGGAGTCTGATGGATGGCGACGGTCAGGATACCTACACTACTACAACACATTATCATCTCCCCATAATCACGCGCGCTAAACGTACCTAGGTAGTAATTTCGCACAATTTCTACAACAAAACATCACTACACTTCACACACTACATAACTAATAAAACTTAACAACACTACTTATAACAAAACTTTTAAGCCGAATGCGCGAGCGATCCGTACCGACACACGCTCGCGGTAGGTACACAAACAGTAACATCGCAGCAAGGCACAATGGCGACTGCGTGTGATGAGACACACACAAACATAAATCTGTTGTTGCCAATTACACGAAAATTACAAAATTTCGGGGTAAAAAATAAAAAAATATGCATTGTCGTAATTTATCATTCTGTTATTTTTTGTAGAGAAATGAATTGATTAAATCAATTTAATTCTAATTTCATTGTTTAGTTAATTTAGAATAATAAAAGTGCAGTGTGATAGAAAGTTGTGCTTCCATTCCAGGGAGATTGTGTTTAATTTCTGGCTCGACTATCAATTCATGGCTATTGTGAAGCCATGTAAATCTGTAAGTAGATTAAAAACTAGCCAGTAATCGTTTAAAAAGAACAATCAATTAATAAATTAGGTAGTATTTGTAAATGCTTTAAAATTAAAACTAGACTAATCTTTATTTATTTTTTATTCAATTTATGTGCGCGACAAGATTTTCATTAATTGATTAATGAAAATCTCATCAATGTGATTATGAATGCAAAGGAGTTCTCAAGTTTTAGATAAATTTAGATAGTTCTAACATTTTCGTTTACAAAGGTAGAAAGGTAGAAGAGGTAACAAAAGTTAAAAGTTGGCAACACTGGTTCAATCGACAGAAAGGGACGCAGCTATTCTGTACGTTGGACGGGATCGTAGGTATACCTACGGCGCGGCGATCGGCGCGGTGGGGCGCCGAGTCGCTGCGCCGTGACCGCGGTGCGGTGAGTTCAAACGACTCGCGCTAGGTAGAAATTGAACAGCTGATTTCATGCGTAGTTCTTCAGAGAATTCACACAACCATTGCGTATTTTTTTTGTTATAGCTGTGTTATTTACATTAATGTTATTCTTCATACATAGAATGTAATTATACATTGAAATAGAGTTGTAGGAACTGAAAAAGCGAAAAAAAAATTGAAAATTTTCCTGAAAGAATTTTCACTGGAATATGATTCAGAATAAGGAGCTGAATGCAACCTGTTAATTTGTGGAGGGCTGTCCCTTACACCCTGTATATACCATGCGCCAATTCTGGGGCTCAGGTTACATGCACTACTGAATTTGACTAGTAGTTAAGTACCAGTGGGGCAGGGGCTTGCTCGACCTCTCCTGTCATTTCCATTTCCACCGGATCAGCACCGTCGTCACTATCTCTTCATTTCACCATTACCACCCTATGGCCCTTATCCCTGCGCCCAAACTCTACGGCTCAAGAGTGGCGCTACACAACCTCGGTTTAACGAGCACGGTGTAACTAAGGTTACGCTCCACAGGTGGACGAATCGCACGAAGGCGAGTACTCGTGCACGCCGTACAACTCGCTGGGGTCGGCGGGCCCGTCGCCGGGCGTGCGCGTGCGCGTGCAGCGTCCGCCGGCGCTGGCGGCGCGGCCGCAGCCGCTGTACGTGGCGCGGCTGGGCGCCACGCTCACGCTGCCCTGCGCCGCCGCCGCGCGCCACCGCGACCAGCCGCTCGTGCACTGGGCCCGGGTGAGCCGCGCCCCGCGCCCCGCTAGCGCCGCGCCCGGCCCGCGCCCTCTCAATTCCCGCTTGTCGTGTCTTGCAGAAGGACGGTAGCGAGCTGCCTGTGGGCCGCCACAACCTGGACGACGGGAACCTGACCATCGTGGACGTGACGGAGGACGACCGCGGCGTGTACGTGTGCACCGTCAGCAACGAGGCCGCCACCGTCGACGTCGAAACGGAGTTACTGGTCGAGAACATGCCCCCGCGGGCTCCCTACAACCTCACCGTCAGGCCGTCTGCGGACTCTCTTCATCTGTCCTGGGTGCCTGGTGAATATACTCGTAGCCAGCTTTGCGACAACATACTCACGTTAATTGCTGTATGCACAATGAAAAAAAATATTACCTGAATGTGTGTGTGTGTGTATGTGTCCGCACACTACGGATACGGAAATGCACATATTAAACATAAACTGAACCGAACCGTCTGCTGTCGTGACAGCGACGCCCCATTGCTCCTCAAATGGTTACAGATTTCAATGTATGTATATCAGACCACAGGCTTGAGCTTCCATTATTTTCAGGACATAACGGACTGGAGGTGGACTATAACGTTTGGTATCGCGAACGAACTGTGAGCGAATGGCGTACTATGAAGATTTTGACGAGAGGCGTCACCGAAGCCACGCTGGTAGGGCTGCGGCCGGGCACCGAGTACGAGCTGCGGGTGCTGTCGCAAGATCTGATCGGCGACGGACTTTTTAGTAAACCAGTGTTTGCGAGAACCCTTGGTAGGGTTTCTTTACAAATAACTTACGTCTACTTTATGGATGATGTACCTAATAAAGAGCTTAGAAGAACTCCTCATGTGGAAACAACAACATTTTTTATTGTTGTGTGTAGGATCTTCGGACGAGGAAGGCATCGAAGCTGAGCAGGTGGCGTACGCTGCCGCCACCACTGAATTGGCTGAGGTGGGCGCATCCGACGAGGGCGCTGAGGGGGGCGACCTGGAGGTCTCCGTGCGCCTCATCGACGAGGGCGTGCTCGTGCGCTGGCGGCGCGAGCCGGCGGACGCGTCGCGCTGCAGCGTGCGCTGGTACGAGGGGGCGCCGCCCGGCGCGCGGCTGCTGGCCAGCGGACACACGCTGCACGACTACATGCTCGGTACGGCCGCGCCCGCCCGCGCCCGCCCTCCTCTCTCGCTCGCTCACTCACTGGCTCACTCGTCCGCAGTGAGCGGCGCCGAGGAAGGGGCGCGCTACTGGGCGCGCGTGCAGTGCGCGAGCGGCGCCAGCGGCGGCGCCGAGCTGCGCGTGCCGGAGTACGCGCGGCTGCGCGGCGTGGCGGCGGGCTGCGCGGCGGCCGCGCTGCTGCTGGCGGCGCTGGCGGCGGCGCTGCTGGCGGCGCGGCGCCGGCTGTGCGCGGGCCCGGCGGCGGCGCGCGCCGACAAGCGGCTGCGCTGACTGCGCCGGCCGGGCGCCGCGCCGCTGTTGGTGCGCTTCGTGCATCACGTGACTTTTCGTGCCGTGTTTGGATGTTTGCTAGAAATTGATGTTATTATTTATTAAAGCATGCGTGAAACGAGTGAAAAATTACATTGTTTTTTAATTAAGATTAAATTGATCACTGAATAAATGTTGAGTGATGAGTTTTTATTACAAATCGATGATAGGCAGAATCCAAAAGCACATCCTTCCAACTCTGCACAAAAACCAGTATGAATTCCTAATTTCCTACTTGAGGTAGGAAATTAGGAATAGGTACCTCAACGCGAAAAAGAGGACGCTCTCTATGATCGGGTGGACCACGTAAAGAATAAAACGACAATTGTCGTCGTCGGTCGTTGAACCGCCTGATCTGTTTATAACAGGCACCAAGATAAACTTAGTGGACGAGACAAAGTTCCTAGGCCTTACCACAGACACAAAGAACCACCTTTAGGTCGCATATATCCGCAATATGTAAAAAAGCTGCAAATTATAAACCGCTAGCACGCGCGGCTAAGGTGACATGCGGTCTTAATGGAAAAATAACAAGAATTATTTAGGTATGCCCTCGAGCCGTCATTGCTCGATGGAGTCGTCCAGTCCCTGTTTCCGGACAGGGACAGCAACTGCGCTCCGCCTGTGATGAGCGCCCCGTGGGGTATGGCTCCATCGATCTTTTCCTACATCGGTCTTTTCTTTTACCAATATAGCCAACTATTAATTTTTTCCCATATCTTTTTAAGATCTCCATTGCACTTTTTAATTTCTTCCTGTTTATATTTATTCTTTTTTTTAAATATTAATTTATTAACCTTATTTCTATATCTAGTGTATTGTAATCTCTTAGTATTATTTTTAGGCTCTTCTTTCTAAATGATGGTACCTATCTATCATAAAAATTTTAATCCTTTGTCGTCTCGAACATGGCGCTCACATATTATTATGCGTACTCACAATCCAAAAGAATGCTTCTATATAAACTCATTCAAGGTTTCATTAATTTTGAGAATTTTAATAACTACTGGCTACATATTTGAGAATTGTCCAGTGGAGCCGAACCAACACGCTGCCAGGCATTCTTATTCTCAATATAATCTGAAAGTTTGTAGTATGCCTGTCTACACAATTCGCGTTTATTATAAGTTTTAAATTTTAGTGTAAGTGTGTTTAAGTGTACATAAATGATTTACCAGTCGGAGCGGCCGGGGTGGTCTTCTTGCCCTTACCCTTCCTTTTGCCCTTGGGTTGCTCCCGCTGGGCTGGGGCCGTTGCCGCGAGTGGAGGGCGAAGCCGCTTCTCCGGAAACAGCCGGTCCTCTATTCCTGCGAAGCAGGCCCCTGGTGAAGGCCCTCTCCTCCATTACTACCTTACGGATAATTCCTCAAGGTTCGAGGGGGCGGGCATCACAGACGCTGGACCTTCCGATGTCCCCTCGGGCCGGGCCATGAGCTCGGCAACGCGCGCGTGTAGCGCCAACACCTCTTTTTGCAGGCGATCCATGTCGTCCAGTCCCCCCCCACCGGCGACTGCCCACCTTACGGCAGGCCCCTCAATTCCACCCCTAGTGGGGAGGAGCCTTTAAGATGGCCGGAGCACAGCTTAGACTGCCACTTCAGCGCCAACCCGCCGCTCACCAACCTGCGCTGGGAGAAGGACGGCTTCTTGCCACTGGCAGGCGACCCTTGGCGAGGACCGCCTTGGCACACGCGATGGGGCACTCCAATCGCATCGTGCCCATACCCCCGCGGCCTGGTCTAATGGCGCGGCCCTTGATCGATTCGACGGCGCAGCCCCCCCCGCCGCAACCGCGGTTACTACCTCTTCTTGGGTGACTGTGTCGTCGAGATCGGTCACCTCAAGAGCCACACATTTCACCGGCCTCAAGACCTTGGCCGTGTCTGCGACAGCCTCTCTGAGCTTCGCCGCAAAGAGTTCCGCCTTGGTTCCACCTTGAGCCCCGGAGAACTCGAAGATACGAGCCCCCGTTTGGGTCTTCCGGCACGTGACCCTACCCGCTCCGAGTTGCGCGGGGTCAACGTTGGTACGAGCCCGCCTCAACACAGACTCGTACGTCTCCCCTCGCTGTGCTGCCTCTGGGGTCAACGTGACCACCACGGCTGCGGTTTTTGGAGGAAGAGGGAGTTTCTTCCTCTTTTCCACTGCGGCTGCAGGCTTGACTGCAGGGGGCTTGGGGGCCGACTTCTTCCCCTTCTTCTTCCTCGACACCACCTTCACCCACGGCTGGTTAGAAGGGGTGGTGGAGGGAAGGAGTGGGTCCTCCCTAGGTAGGGTTTGAGGGGCTATCTGGGCAGTCGGGGCGGCCGGGGTGGTCTTCTTGCCCTTACCCTTTCCTTTGCCCTTGGGTTGCTCCCGCTGGGCTGGGGCCGTTGAAGGACCCGGTGCGCCAGGGGTCCTCTCAGGCACCCTATCCGATGCGAGCGGAGGGCGGAGTTAGGTTAGGTTAGGTTAGGTTAGGTTAGGTTGGGGGTTTCGGCGGGTGGTTCAAGGGTGGTAGAGAGGGTCTCCCGCCTAGGGCTGACGGTGGCGCTGCACAAGACCGAGGCAGTGTTCTTCCACGGGTCCCGGCAACGCCAACCGCCTGACGCGCACATTCACGTGGAGGGTGTCCGCATTGGGGTGCAGGCCCAGATGAAGTACCTGGGCCTAGTCCTCGATAGCAAGTGGCGCTTCAGCGCGCATTTCAGTGGGCTATCGACACGCCTATTGAGGACTGCGGGCGCCCTCTCGTGGCTCCTCCCTAACCTCGGGAGACCTGGCGACCAGTGCCGGCGTCTATACGCCGGCATTCTGAAGAGCATGGCCCTATACGGGGCACCTATCTGGGCGGACTCACTGTGCAGACGGGAGAACGTCGCCGCCATCCGCAGGCCACAAAGGGCCATTGCACAGCGGGTGGCGAGGGCATATCGCACAGTGGGTTTCGCAGCGGCGTGCGCTCTGGCGGGTACCCCTCCTTGGGAGCTCGAGGCATGGGTGCTCGCCAGAGTGTACGACTGGACGGCGGAGCAGAGGGCGCTCAACCGGTCCCGGCCCTTGGGGAACGGGAAAATGTGCGGGAAGAGGTGAGGGAGGCCATCACTCGGCACTGGGCTGAGGAACTCGCCTCCGCAGAGTTTGGTCGCCGGACGTTGGACGCCATCGGGCCCGTCCTGATCGACTGGCTCGATCGGCAGCACGGCTGCCTGTCGTTTCGCTTGGTGCAGGTCCTGTCCGGGCATGGTTGCTTCGGATCGTACCTGCACCGAATAGGGAGGAGTCGCCACAATGCCACCACTGTGGCGCCGCGGTGGACTCTGCAGAGCATACCTTAGAGGTGTGCCCATCGTGGGACGAACCCCGCCGCGCCCTGGTGGCAGCGGTCGGGAACGACCTCTCGCTCCCCAGCGTCATAACATCCATGCTGGGGAGTGAGGAGGCATGGGCAGCGGTGGCCTCCTTCTGTGAGGACGTCATGTCACAGAAGGAGGCGGCGGAGCGCATGCGGGAAGAAGATCCTCTCGCAGCGCCGCTCCGCCAGCGAAGAAGGGGCGGACGAAGACGGCGTACACAACGTCCGTCGTCACCTGCTCCAGGGGGTGATCAGCGGGCGACAAGCGCGGGGGCGCAAGCGCCAGCATCGCACGCATCACCCGTGCTCCGGCCATCATAAAGGCTCCTCCCTAGGGGGGAATTGAGGGGCCTGCCATGAGGCGGGCAGTCGCCGGTGGGGGACTGGACGTCATGGATTCCCAGACCCCCTCCACTCAGGCGAGGCCGGAGTGCCACTGGGTTTTTTAGTGGGTATACCGGGAACGACTTTACCGGGGAGTCCCACATAACCCTCTCCCGTCCCCCGACGGGAAGGGTATGCGTAATAGCATTTTTCCCAGTGCCGCAAAAAAAAAAAAAAAAAAAAAAAAAAAGGTTAGGTTGGGGTGGGGGTCCCCCCACAGCGTTGACTTCCTCGTAGTGACCCCTGGGCAACGTCGCGCCTGACCACCGTAACGGAGTGGCAGGCCGGCGGCTAACGAACGCTGTGAGCGATACGATTTGTCTGTCGTAAGTGTCGATATTGTGGTGGCAATGCCACAACCTCTGAGGGACGCCTCCGGGCGTTTTCTCCCAAAAGGCCCTTCTCAGGGCCAACCCAAAGGCCCTTCTCAGGGCCACACCATGTCTCGGGATGTTTCACCATCAGTGGCCAGCCGGTCTGTGGCAGGCAGCGACATGTGTCGGACTTGTCTGATAACGAGTCGGTTTGAGTGGTACGACAGCGGCTCTACGCGACAGTCAAGAAGAGGGCCTTCCTCAGGCAGGACTCCAAAGGCTCTCCGGACCAACAGGGAAGCCTGCGAAGCGGGCTGTGATACACAGACCTGGAGGAGAGGATCGCCTCCAAGGAACAGCGGACGAGAACACCAGAGCCAAGGCTGGCTACGGCGCCTCCAGCGTCCTCTACGCGGACCACTCCGTAGAGGAAATGGAGCGCATGGCTCTGGAGGATCAAGGAGATCTTGGAGGTGGCTCCAAGTCCTCCAATTTGAAGGGACCTTTCAGAAGGCCCTGAAATGCCGGGCAGCGAGCTTGCTCGGCATCGTCAAGGAGTTGGCGCAGCGCACCACCTCCGACGAAACGCGGCAACTGCAGGCGAAGTGGATCGCCTGCAAAAAGAGGTGTCGGCGCTGCACGCGCGCGTTGCCGAGCTCATGGCCCGGCCTGAGGGGACGTCGGAAGGTCCAGCGTCAATGCCCGCCCCCTCGAACCTTGAGGAAATCATCCGCAAGGTCGTAATGGAGGAGAGGGCCTTCACCAGGGCCTGCTTCGCGGGCAGAGGACCGGCTTCTGCCGGAGAAGCGGCTTCGCCCTCCACTCGCGGCCGGATAGGCCGAGAGGACCCCTAGCGCACCGGGTCCTTCAACGGCCCCAGCCCAGCGGGAGCCCAAGGGCAAGGGAAAGGGTAAGGGGAAGAAGACCAC